AATGCCTGCCCGGATACGACTGTCGACTAGCGACAATGATTCTAAGCTCTGCAGATAACAACAACCGGAAGAGGAAGACAACAACAAAAACAACAACGGCGACGACGACAACAACGACGACGGCAACGACAACAACAACAATTATCTCTTATCGGTGATGGTGCCATCGTGAGAACAAAGAATTCAAACAACCGGAATAGGAAGAAAGCAGCGAATGAGTTCAGACACGCACTAAAAATGACGCTACTTCAAAGTTCAAACCAAAGTACTCGCAACAGGCTGGTAAGGCAAGCTGCTGTTGGTCACAGATCACAGGATGGATTACTTACAGCCTGTGGGTCTGCAATCAGACTCCCGACTGCCTGCAGCGTTTGTGGATGGACCTTGCCGCTGCAGGAAGGAATGCAAGAGAGGCAAGAGAGGCAAGAGAGGCAAGAGAGGCAAGAGAGGCAAGAGAGGCAAGCAGGCATACACAGTTACACACTACAACAGTGCATGCAAAGATTTACGGAGATAGCAATACCTTAGTTAGACTACTCGGCAGCTGTGATGTCTGTGATGTCTGTATCATGTGATGTCTGTGATGTCTGTATCATGTGATGTCTGTGATGTCTGTATCACAAAATACAGGAAAGCTTCGAGAACATGCAATAATTATTGTTCCAAACGCCTTTGCAAATGCCAGTCCAGCCATTTCCTATTGAATACCTGGAAGTGTAGCTTGAGATTGCATCGCCAAGAACGCACAGCAAATACGCTTGCTACATTGGGAATAGGGAATGATGCGTTCCAGGGAAAGAAAGGAGGTGGTTGTATCAACTATGATTGGCAGTCACAAGAACAACCGGAGTAACATAGAAAGTGGGTGCAAACATCCATCCACACGACACCTACCTTTTGCCGAAGTTTCCGCCGAGCGAGAGTTCACGGATAGTCTGGCAACTCCTCAACGCGGCACACACTGGGATGATGTCATTCTCCAGCTCTGCGCAGTGCAGAGAGCATACATCATGACATGCAGTAGGCTACTTGACGGTCGAACCTAACACAACTTCAGAAGAACACGTCATGATACCGAAATACAACACACATGGGCAGTGCATTGCCAACTCCAACCAAGAGCAAGTGTGGCGGGGCGCACACACACACATACACACACACACACATACACACACACACATGCACACACATGCACACGCACACACACACACACTCACATGCATGCACGTACATATACACGCATAAATACACACATATTCACATACACACACACACACATACAAGACACATACGCGCACACACCATTGGACCATTGGACCATTGGACACCCATCGCCGGAGGCAATGATAGTGATGCTACAGCAGAAGCCATAGCAACTCGTGCAGGGATTGCACCATTCAACAGCTTGCAAGGCTGAAGAATTGGCCGCCACTATTCAGCCTGGTCTACACCACACAGCTATGAAGTGGCTTTTTCTGGCCAGTGAATCCCTACTTTTTGGTCTTTTTCATTTTTTTCACACTCGCGCACACACACACACGCACAGTGTTACATCGTAGCACAGATGGACCTCCTACCATTGTTGCTGATGTCCAGCTTTGAGATCTTCTTGATAGCAGCGCAGCAGTCGTTTAGCGCAGCTCCAAGGGAATTGCTACCAAACTGCGACACCACAGAAACACCAGTAGGCAAGGTTAGCATGTAGAGTGGTTCTCAAAGCCTTCGGACGTGTGTGTGTGCATTCTCCGTGTGCCAGTGAGATGGACCATGATTGACCTTGAGTAGAAATTTGTGCCGTCGAGATTAGAATTTTCTAAACGTTTAAAAAGTACAGTAGCGCCTGCTAAGGCGACCACTTTGATTGTGCGAACACCTGTCCCAGAGGACCACAACATCCAGGACTAAAGTTATCACTGCCACTAATGTGACCGTGGATCGGGGACCGCCTGTGCACGGGATCACATTTTGAGGGGCCCGTGACGGAGTGGTGGGCTTAGTTAGGTCTCATTGCATGTACTAGTATATCGACAGAACTGAGCTATGCGGTCACACACAGCCCGGGGACACTGGCACCTCCGCACCGCAGGTTAGTCCGTCAGGCAGCAGTATCGGCAGTAACTTAGAAAGGTGATGAGGTACTTCAACCATTGCATCACAAAGAAACGCAGGACCAAACTGTTCAAAGTGATTACAAACCGGACACATAACCAATGCCAAATACAGTCAACCTACCCTTATAACGATATTTGCGTCAGACAAAGAAATATTGTTATAAGTGTAATATTGTTATAAGGGTATTGGTTCATTTCATACATGTACGTCATAATGCATGATTTTTGTTCATTGTTTACACTCTTTAGAGCATAATAATGTATGTTCTATGCACAGTATGCACACAGCAAGGCATCAATGGTGCCCCCATCGCATTTCGTCATGTCCCAGTGACTTATCAAGTGAAACTTGCCCTACCTGGATAGTGGAGCCTACATATTCCTTGCTAGATATTGTTATAAAATGGAAAAATGCCGAGTGGTCAGCCCATTTTATATCGTTAGGGGTCGTCCGTATTTTTCGAAAAATTAAAAAATCCGTCCTCAGGCAAAAAGGGGGTGGGTGGTCAAGAGTGCTGGCCGAATTTAATTTTTTGATTTTTCGTACTTTTTTTTTTTTTTTTTTTTTTTTTTTTTTTTCGCTCCAGTGACTTTCATACACTTGTTCAAGTTGTTGCACTGATACAAGTATATAGCTGACTGTGTACTGTACTGTAGACGTAGTGTAGGATCGATTGTCGCAAACACCAGTATCTACTATGATACATGACGTTTCATGTAGTTGTAGGACGGTGCATGCATGGCCGTGACGTCGGTAGCCCTACTACTCACTGTACTTAGCTACTAGTACTTGACACAGGTGCAGTCAGAAAACGTGGGGTCAGGAGTTCTTATTTTCGAGCTGGGCATCGGTAAAAATCAAAAAGTTAATGGGAAAAATTGGGGGGTGGGTGGGTGGGTCAGAGACAATTTTGCACGAGGACGGATTTTTTTAATTTTTCGAAAATTACGGACGACCCCTTATACTATATATAGGGGTAATATCGTTATAGCAATATTGTTATAAGGGTAAGGCATTGTATACAAAAGTCAATGGAGTGATTTGGTTTGACAAGAAAATATCGTTATGAGGGTAATATCGTTATAGAGGTTATCGTTATAAGGGAAGGTCGACTGTAATGCACTGGGCCAGACTTATCTCACTTTCATGGCTAAATGCATCAGGTGCAGCTGGCAAAGACCAGTAACAGGCCAATGGTGGCACCACATCATCAGTGTACAGCAGCATACGTCCCGGGCCCTCAGACCGCTTACCTCGTTACCACACAGGATGACCTCCATGCCGGTCAGTTCACTGTTGTCCTGTAGGCCTTGGAAGACACCTCTGCAAATACACAGCCGAATACGCACAGCATAGCACAGTTACATACACTGCCAGGACCGTGCTAACAATGCCATAGGGTCGTACAGATCATCAGATCCTCTTGGCAAGGAAAGTCATGAGCAATTCGAGTAAATTCCAAACCTACTTTCACCCTTGTCTCAGTTTTACTGGCCGTCATCATAATGTGCCATGAGATGATATAAATACAAAAATACAAATACTTGACGAGTATAACAGTTATATTCCCAAACCATGGGAATACTGCATTCTAGTGAAGGCATTCCTCGTGCTGAAAGAGCTAGAATTTTCCCGGCATCACTAACATTTAGTAAAAGAGACCATTGATAGCGGATCATGTCACTGGTCTCTTAAAAAAGTAATCAGGCTACACTCCATGCCGGCCATACACGGACACCCGTGCAAGATTCATCAATAACCTATTCACCGGGCAAGGAAGTCGCATGCAAGCCGTTCACATGGTTCAATGGTGGAGTTCTCGCATGCCTGTGGAGGGGGGTGGATGCCTGGCCAATGCATTTGCATAAATTCTATACAGATTAGGAAAGAAAAATGAATGAATTGGTCGCGCACTAAATAAGTATGCAAGCATTGGTGGTTCAGTGGTAGAATCCTCGCCTGCCACGCGGGGGGCCCGGGTTCGATTCCCGGCCAATGCATTTTTTTATTGATTCTACCAAGAGTCCATAACCCCAAGAGTGTGCAACTCTGTAGGGAGCCACGTGGCGGAATTCCAACATTAGAGAGGTTCCGCACTACAGTGCATTTCAAAACTATAGACGCGTAGGGTTTTTGAAATATTTCAAATTTGGCTGGAACTTTTTGAGAATAGTTTTCGGAATATTGCTCAGGATCGCTCCACAATTACTCTCATATAGTTTCTAAAGGATTGGATAACAGACGCCCAATTTGGAAAAATTTATGCACAAAGTGATCACAGATTTTATGTGGTATAGATGCTGGCATAACGGTTTTTGCCTAGGTACGCGTCTATAGTTTTGAAATGGACTGTACGTAAAGTTGAGCAGCTTTACGTTAGTCACATCATAGTGGGCGGGAAAAACCCGTGAATTCGCGAGTTTGCACTCCACTTACGGAAAGTTGTCTACAGAGAGTACGTAGATAGGGCTCTGATAACGTAGCTGGTCCGTAAGTGGATTGGGGTACAAATTTATAGCTCTCTCCCCAGGTCGATCTGGTAGTACACTGCCGCGTTCGGAGTTGCCAAGGGCAGCTACGTGATTTGAAAACTCGGTAAGGCGGAACACAGATGCGCATCCAGTTTACGTAAGACTTTCCGTAGATCGACTACGTTTTTTATTAACGTAAAATACGTTAATCGGAATCTCTCTATTACGTCAAAAATGACGTACACGTTTGTTGCGTTTGTACTACTCCCTGGTTCTACAGTCCATTCAGAAAAAGATGGACTTCTAGCTTTTGGCCATAAATGGGTCAAACTTTGAGTTTTTTTAGACATTTTTCTGCAATCCCCTATGGAATCCTCTTCGATTCCCGGCCAATGAATTTTTGTTATTGATTCTACCATTCTACGAAAAGAAAAATGAATAAATTAGCCAGACATGGAAGGTGTGCGAGCATTGGTGGTTCAGTGGTAGAATCCTCGCCTGCCACGCGGGGGGCCCGGCCCGGGTTCGATTCCCGGCCAATGCATTTTTTATTGACTCTAGCATTCTACGAAAGAAAAATGAATGAATTTGCCGTATATGGAAGTTACATGCAAGCATTGGTGGTTCAGTGGTAGAATCCTCGCCTGCCACGCGGGGGGCCCGGGTTCGATTCCCGGCCAATGCATTTTTTTTATTGATTCTACCAAGAGTCCATAACCCCAAGAGTGTGCAACTCTGTACATGGAGGTCCACGTGGCGGAATTCCAACATTAGAGAGGTTCCGCACTACGTAAAGTTGAGCAACTTTACGTTAGTCACATCATAGTGGGCGGGAAAAACCCGTGAATTCGCGAGTTTGCACTCCACTTACGGAAAGTTGTCTACGGAGAGTACGTAGATAGGGCTCTGATAACGTAGCTGGTCCGTAAGTGGATTGGGGTACAAATTTATGGCTCTCTCCCCAGGTCGATCTGGTAGTACACTGCCGCGTTCGGAGTTGCCAAGGGCAGCTACGTGATTTGAAAACTCGGTAAGGCGGAACACAGATGCGCATCCAGTTTACGTAAGACTTTCCGTAGATCGACTACGTTTTTATTAACGTAATTATTACGTTATGCGGAACCTCTCTATTACGTCAAAAATGACGTACACGTTTGTTGCGTTTGTACTACTCCCTGGTTCTACAGTCCATTCAGAAAAAGATGGACTTCTAGCTTTTGGCCATAAATGGGTCAAACTTTGAGTTTTTTTAGACATTTTTCTGCAATCCCCTATGGAATCCTCTTCGATTCCCGGCCAATGAATTTTTGTTATTGATTCTACCATTCTACGAAAAGAAAAATGAATAAATTAGCCAGACATGGAAGGTGTGCGAGCATTGGTGGTTCAGTGGTAGAATCCTCGCCTGCCACGCGGGGGGCCCGGGTTCGATTCCCGGCCAATGCATTTTTGTTATTGATTCTACCATTCTAAGAAAAGAAAATTAGAAAAATGAATTAATTTGCGGTTCGATTCCCGGCCAATGCACTTTTTTTATTGATTCTACCATTCTACGAAAAGAAGAATGAATGAATTTGCTGGACATGGAAGGTATGCAAGCATTGGTGGTTCAGTGGTAGAATCCTCGCCTGCCACGCGGGGGGCCCGGGTTCGATTCCCGGCCAATGCATTTTTGTTATTGATTCTACCATTCTACGAAAAGAAAGTGAAAGAATTTGCCGGACACTGAAGTTGTATGCAAGCATTGGTGGTTCAGTGGTAGAATCCTCGCCTGCCACGCGGGGGGCCCGGGTTCGATTCCTGGCCAATGCATTTTTGTTATTGATTCTACCATTCTACGAAAAGAAAATAGAGAGGTTCCGGGGTACGATTTTCCGTGCCAAAATCCGTATGGGCGCTACGGGTTTTTTCCAGGCGTGCTCCATACGATTTTTCGGCACGGAGAATCCGTGTGGACTGGCTTTCATACGAACCATGTTTCGTATGGAGATTTTGCGTCATCGGGTGCAGAAAGATTTTTCGCGTACAAATTTGGTACGAGAAACATCGATTTTCCGCGGGAAGTTTTGATTTCGGTACAAATTTTTAAAATAAAAAGGCATAGCGCGGGAATGTGACGTGTTTGCGATCGTAATAGGCATCGGCGGCTAATGCTAGCATTATAACTAGCATTATATGGGTGTTTTGAAGAAGTAGCATTGCTCGGCATTAGGTGGCATGTTTTTGGCTGGAGAAAGCATTATCAGTTCTATTTTGGTACAATACAAGACTTTTTACACGTCTTTTCACATGACAAGAGGCTTGTACAGACAGTGTACCGACACTCTTGCAGCAGGCACATGTATTATGTATCTGTCTAGTGTGGTCATGCATATACAACTACACTTCCTTATCTCAGTATGAGCCAATTGTGGATACATTTCTTTTCCATGTGCATATTTGCCCAAGATAGCTCGAAAATGTACATATCACTCTAGCATTATAGTGCGAATGGAGCATTATAACAGGCATTATGCCGTGAAATATCGAGCACTGCCAAAAGCATTATACTGTGAAAAAACGAGCATTAGCCGCCGATGCCTAGATCGTAACCTAGGCAATGACGGCAAACACATAAGTTATGTAGCAAGAAGGACCCATGAGTGCGTGTGATCCCCGGTAGCCTAAGGCGTCGGTCACACTACGGCAAAAATGCTGCGTCAGCGTCAGAATCATGAGCTTTTCCATGGCAACTGACGCAACCGTGGGTAGTTTGAGCGTCAGACGCTGCTGCGTCTGACGTGGGGAAATCGGCTGCGTTGCCGCTGGTGGGAGTGACGCTTGGCGGAAAAACAGTGTCTTTCAAGTAAAATTAGTTTCAAGACAGTTGCTTGAGTTGAGCATTCATTCGACATTCGTCTCTTCAAGGTTTGTTTTGTTCCCTCTTTTTTTCGAGAGGAGTCCGTGGACCTACGTGACCGAGGCTGCTCTGCTCCGAACCTGGCGGAAGAGCGAGGCGTTTTCTGAGAAGAAAATGATGTCGAGAAAGGACCAGTTGTTCGAGTGGGTCATCGGCCAACTGGAGCCTGTTGACTTGTGAGTGTTGTGTTGTCGTCAAGAGCACCCAAAAGGACAACCAGTATGACGAAGTCAGGAAAAACACAGCTGCGATGCGGACTTTTCTTGCCTGATCCATGACACTACAACTGAAAATGGCTTCCAATTCGGAAAGAAACAACAACGATCGTGCACGCGTGGACCTTTCGTCTTCTTGTAATCAAAAATCAATGACAAATTTGAAAACTTTGTCCGACAATTTTTTTGTATGATAAGCAAAAGGCCGGTTTCCGTGGGAATCCGTGTCGTCATTGAGTTTCCCTGGTGATTTTGTGACGTAGACAAATGCGTCAGGCCGCGGCAGTCATGAGGTGCAAAAAAAACAAAACACTGTGTGACCCTGCGTCTGCGTCAAGTGCTGCGGCTTGACGCTGCGTCCAGCTTCAAACTGCCGTAGTGTGACCGAGGCCTAATCGGTAGGGCGCTGTCCCGGAAAGACAGGGGTGCTGGGTTCGAATCCCGCTCGTGGATCCTTCTTTTGCAACATTGGCGCCTGGCAATGGCTCGAACCCACGACCCATCGTACCCCCCGCGAGTAGGTACGGCGTGAGGACACAGCCTGTTGGGGCGGGGAGCAGTGTAGCAAGAAGGACCCATGAGTGCGTGTGATCCCCGGTAGGCTAATCGTTAGGGCACTGTCCCGGAAAGACAGGGGTGCTGGGTTCGAATCCCGCTCGTGGATCCTTCTTTTGCAACAGTTCCGTACCCCGGAACTTTTCACTGCTCGGAAACGACGTATAAAAAATCCGTAGCGCCTCCACGGATTTTGGCACGAAAAATCGTACTCCGGAACCTCCCTAATGAATGAATTTGCCGGACACTGAAGTTGTATGCAAGCATTGGTGGTTCAGTGGTAGAATCCTCGCCTGCCACGCGGGGGGCCTGGGTTCGATTCCCGGCCAATGCATTTTTGTTATTGATTCTACCATTCTACCAAGAGTTCATAACCCCCAAGAGTGTGCAACGGGCATAGACCCAGCGCTCGGCGAAATTCCTACATTACGTCATGCGCAGCTTGTCATCCGAGGTAAATTTGGGTTCTTTGCGATTTCTGGACACTATACCCTGAACCGCTCCTAACTCAAGGCTGTAGCCTCGACTTTTCGAAGCTTTTCTTGAACACATTTCGGACGTACAAGTCGTACTTTCTCAAAAAACAAACTTTCTCCAAGAATCCATGGACATCGCGACAGGAAGAAGTGAGGACGCTGTTAAAAATATTGCATTGCCGTCGAGGACAATCATTCTGATAGCTGTGCAACTCAGCCGAAAAATGCTCCTTCGACTTATTCTCTCAAGTTCCTCAACCATTTGAAATCATCTTCGAGGAAAGCACCGGAAATATGCCGATGGCCTGGGGAAGAAATTGTTCTTGAAGAGACTGACTGCACTGGTGAAAGAAGAAGGCGATGAAGAGTCACCATTGCATCGAAAAAATAAATAGTTTTGTCTTTAGGGATCGTGTGCTTTGTTTTACTTTTTTTGCTTCTTGCTAGCTTGAGGCTCAGACTAGAGTCGCAGTTTAGGCAGTTTACCCTGGGGAAGCATCCTGGTTTGACTGTTAATTTTAGAAGAATTCATCGGCGTGACTCATCGCACTGCACCAAAAATGACGCAATGAAGGAATTCCGCCGAGCGGGCTTCCATACTGGGACTGCTCAGGAGTTGCACACTCTTGGGGGTTATGAACTCTTGATTCTACGAAAAGAAAAATGAATGAATTTGCCGGACAAAGAAGTTATATGCAAGCATTGGTGGTTCAGTGGTAGAATCCTCGCCTGCCACGCGGGGGGCCCGGGTTCGATTCCCGGCCAATGCATTTCTAGCAATATATTTTTTACACTAGTACTCAATCTGTGGCGGACTTCATGCTAACTTTTTATAGAAATGATTCTGGAGCAAGTACGCATCGGTGCATCAAGAGTCTACAACCAAGAGTATGCAACTGTGAGCATGTGTGAATGTGCGGCACACAGGCTCCGATTACTAGACATAACATGCCTTCAGCATGCCCTGTGACTCACCAGTTCAGCACGCCCTGTACTCCCCATGCACTCAAACTCGTAATCTCTCGCACCAGCACGACGGTGTTTTGCTTGATGAGTTCGAGTACCGGCGCAATCTACCTGAATGAACTTTGGGCGCATGAACTTCTGTTCTGTATGAACATTATAGTTTCAGACGGCAGAGAAAGTGTGGATGCAGCTGCACGGTGTTTGTTTCTTTCTTTTATTTGAATTCGAAAGATGTCATGAAGCCTGTGCGCTGCACATCCCACCTATAGGCATAGAAAGAGATCACCGTTGTGCACTCACACTGCTAATGCAGTGCGGTGGCATGGCAATAGATTAGTATTGTGCACTGCAATAGCAAAGAAAATGGTGGTTCCGCAAGCCCTCACGGTGTGCACCATACCTTAGCAGCTCGATGGGAAACTTCGAGTTGGCCAAGTTCAAATACTCCAGTTCACTCGATGACTGGAACATCTGTTGGAACAAGAACACCGACCACACACAAACACACACACACATCGGGTATGGGAGAAGGGTACACGTACACTGTACTGGTAGTCAGTTGCATAAGACCGTAGTACTTGAAGTATCTTCAAATATGGCTATAGGCTGTACATGCCTGCCGAGGACAACTACCAGGAAATGCCATCCATCCAGTGGAACACTACATGTAACTACATGCACCTGTAACTAAGACCTCGCCACCAGCAACACTCACTCAACCAAAGAATGTCTGTGTGTGTGTGCGAGCGAATCATGGAAGATGAAGAGGTACGTACATGTATGTTCATGTCCTGGCGCGCACACATCTGTGTGTGTGTGTGTGTGTGTGTATGTGTGTGTGTGTGTGTGTGTGTGTGTGTGTGTGTGTGTGTGTGTGTGTGCGTGCGCACGCGCGCGCGCGCGCGTGTGTGTGTGTGCATGTGTGTGCGTGTGCGCGTGTGTGTATGTGTGTGTGGCACTGGCGACAGAACCAACTGTGTGTACAGGACGAGAGAGAAAGCCGGCGTACCTTAACTACCTTCTTGGACAGTTCCAGCCGCTGCCCTTTCCTATAAAACACAGGACACGAGTTCAACAACACGCACAGAATCAAGCACAGCACGGTCATTCTTCAAGGCAGGTCAAACCAGAACAGCATAGGAGATGACTGTGTGGGTATTCCAAGTTTTAGAACATAGGATACTCCGTTCGTATAGTTTGGAGATCAGGTTCTGCGGCCCCTGAATTACTGGCAACAGTGTACTTCAAGCACTCAAATATTCAGATGACTGCGCCGGTACTAACTTTGGATGCGCTACTTTGTTGTCGGAGAGATTGATCTTGCGAATGGTCTGCGCTACTTTGCCCTCCGCCAAGCACTGCAAGACCTGAAGTATGCACACAAAAGAGCCGCAGAACAACCAGCTGCATGTGTCAGCCGAAACGGCACACTGACGAGATTCATTCCTCCAGTAGACGAGTAAGGTTAGTGGTCACACCCGTGGCAATGACGGGGTTACATTGCAGTAACAAACCTACTAGCTTGGCATACATAGCACCCCGGCTTGCTAGAGGCTGTGCACAGCATGGCTAATTCACACGAGATATGTGTTGTCACACAACCTAGATTCCGTGACGCAGTCGCCAGGGGTGCATTTGTAGTGGCTCGCATATCATCTAGGCTCTACATGCCTCAGGGTGTGTACATACACGTTCACACTGGCAACAAACCAGGCAGAATGTGGAATACCTGGTACAGGTACTCCATCAGTCAGTGGTCCTATACGGCCCCTTAGCATGATCATGTCCCAGATGGGTTCCTGCCAACTCACATACACACAGTGCCCTCAGTCAAACCTACGTGATCAGAGTACACTGAAGTGCTCTGCAGCTCCAAGCACTGTAGTGAGCTCCTCGCCACAAATCGTCCAAGCTCCTGTGGGGACATGGCACGCACCAACAAGCCGAAATCAATGATAATGGATGGCAACAAAGCGGCTGGGTTAAAGCGATTGGTAAGCGCTAGTTCCAAACACTCCGATTCAGATAAGCAGTCTAGATTGATGTCAATCCCCACCCCATCTCTTGCACCCCCCCCCCCCCCCCCCTTCTCTCTCTATCTTTCCCTCATGATCAGAGAAGCTCCCATGTGTGCAAACAGAGCTACTCACCGCAAATCCATCATTACCCAGCGAGTTCTCAGACAGGACGAGTCTGCGGCAAAAGAAAAAAAGAAGGCAAGAAAGTCACATGCAAGCCGTTCACATGGTTCAATGGTTGAGTCCTTGCCTGCCTGGGGGGGGGGGGGGGGGGGGGGGGAGGAGATTACCACCCAATGCATTTGCACAGATTCTAGCATTCTACGGATTAAAAAAGAAAAATGAATGAATTGGGGGGGGGGGGGGGGGGGGGGGGCGTTCGTTTTTGATCTACAGGTTTTGGGTAGAAACTACTTCTTTCGGTAGAGGTGTTCGTTTTTAAAAAAAATTCTACTCAAAAGGGTAGATTCTACTTTCCTCTACCGGCTCTACCGGGAAAAAGTTGGTAGAATCCGGTAGAAGTTGGTAGAGCTACGGGATTTCCAGCAAGATCAAGGATTTGTACACAACTCCATAAAAAAAGAAACATTTCACGTACACATCGTGTAAACTACTAGATCTGGTAGAACAGCGTTCGTACACTTGCCTCTACCATCTACCTCTATCGGTAGAGTGACTCTACTCTACTCTACCAGGTAGCTAAAAACGAACGCAGCCTTGGTCGCGCCCAAAAGTGGTATGCAAGCATTGGTGGTTCAGTGGTAGAATCCTCGCCTGCCACGCGGGGGGCCCGGGTTCGATTCCCGGCCAATGCATTTTTTTCAAATTTTATAGAAATGATTCTGGAGCAAGTGCGCACACGTCGGCTGGGTATCGAACTCGTACAGTGTACATCAAGAGTCTATAACCAAGCGCAAATCCCAGACAGATGTTCAAAACTCCGAGCCAGTCCAAACATTTATCATGCCATAGCGGTGAAAGCAGCTCTAAACTGCCGCAGCAGCTCAGTGGACGCTGCAGTGGGTGATTGCATCTTTTATTGATTCTACTTGTAGCATTCTACGAAAAGAAAAATGAATGACTTTGCCGGGCACGGAAGTTATGCAAGCATTGCCGATTGGTGGTTCAGTGGTAGAATCCTCGCCTGCCACGCGGGGGGCCCGGGTTCGATTCCCGGCCAATGCACTTTTTATTTATTCTAGCATTCTACGAAAGAAAAATGAATGAATTTGCCGGACATGGAAGTTATATGCAAGCATTGGTGGTTCAGTGGTAGAATCCTCGCCTGCCACGCGGGGGGCCCGGGTTCGATTCCCGGCCAATGCACTTTTTATTTATTCTAGCATTCTACGAAAGAAAAATGAATGAATTTGCCGGACACAGAAGTTATATACAAGCATTGGTGGTTCAGTGGTAGAATCCTCGCCTGCCACGCAGGGGGCCCGGGTTCGATTCCCGGCCAATGCATTTTTTCAAATTTTATAGAAATGATCCTGGAGCAAATGCGCACACGTCGGCTGGGTATCGAACTCGTACAGTGTACATCAAGAGTCTATAACCAAGAGTATGCAACTATGAGCACGGGTGAATGTGCAGCACACAAATTGCAAGAGCAAATTCCACACAGGTGTTCAAAACTCCGAGCCAGTCCAAACATTTATCATGCCACAGCGGTGAAAGAAGCTCTAAACTGCCGCAGCAGCTCAGTGGACGCTGCAGTGGGTGATTGCATCTTTTATTGATTCTACTTGTAGCATTCTACGAAAAGAAAAATGAATGACTTTGCCGGGCACGGAAGTTATGCAAGCATTGGTGGTTCAGTGGTAGAATCCTCGCCTGCCACGCGGGGGGCCCGGGTTCGATTCCCGGCCAATGCACTTTTTATTTATTCTACCATTCTACGAAAGAAAAATGAATGAATTTGTCGGACACGGAAGTTAACAGTTATGTGCAAGCATTGGTGGTTCAGTGGTAGAATCCTCGCCTGCCACGCGGGGGGCCCGGGTTCGATTCCCGGCCAATGCATTTTTTTTCAAATTTATCATGCCACAGCGGTGAAAGAAGCTCTAAACCGCCGCAGCAGCTCAGTGGACGCTGCAGTGGGTGATTGCATGAGCGCGCATAACGCTTCACAAGGAGGCGAAACTCCACGGGCTGTATCCATTGGAGAAGGTTCATAGCCACGCATGCTCCAAGGCGCCGCAACTAACATGTCAGTAGTCCTGGAGTAACTCACCTCTTCATAGCCGCTACCATGCTCTTGTTCTCTGCCAGAGCACGACCGACTGCATTTGCACCTGAAAGGAGAACATCACGGGGAAAGGACACGGCTCAATTCTAAGTTTCTAACAGCTGAACGAAGGGGTGTGCATGCATAGAGAAACAGTGCAAGGTGACGGTTACCACACAATACACCACACCAGCGACGGTGGAGCCTTGACTAGTCTCATAGTTGGCAGAAGAATAAATCTTCCATCGCCTTGTGCAAAATTCATGCTAAGGCAGGCGGAGTGATGATGTGAAAGCACGTGAAGCAGTGCCAGCAGTTCCGGCAGCAGACCACGCAACAACAGTGGCAATGTACAAGAACACTCACCTCGATTTGAACACTTTGTATTGGCCAGGTTCAGTGATGCCAGCGGGTTCTTGCTAACTTCCAGCCACTGGGCACACATCTGAATGCCTAGGAAGAAGAACATTGCAGACAGAGAAATAGAATTAGCCAGTGGTTGCATGTGAGTGTGTGCATTTTTATGTGTGTGTGTGGGGGGGGGGGGAGGGGGAGGGAGGAAGGGGGAGGGGTGATATCGTTTTTGTCTTCTTTCTTCGTCTACAGTACGTATCAGAAAGGATGCGAGTTGAGAGACTTGCTTCACGTGTTGCCAGAACATCTGTGGCTCAATGGCCAAGTGGTAAGGCGTCGGTCTCGTAAACCGAAGATCGAGGGTTCAATTCCCTCTTGAGCCTCTTTTTTTCCTCTAGATACGTTGCAGTGCCCTACAGAAATCCCTTTGTGAAATTGGAAAAAGGGGTCACGAGGGTTTTACCACGGTTTCCAAACGTTTCCGTATACATGTACTTTTTGCTGGGTATAAGCGATACAATTTTATTTCGTGAAATAGCAGGGATGCTGCCTTCCCGGGTCCACTTCCTTTTAGGCTCCTCCGTGCAGGTGTTCTACCTCCACTAATATGTTTCAAGTAGGTAGCATAGGGACATAAAAGTAGCTGCTAAAGATATGAGCGAGCATACCAGAAAGATTTGCGCACAGAATACATTCGAAAGTAGACACATATGATCTCTCCCTCACTACATTCTATTGGCTATTTTCATTATGTGCCATGAAATGCAGACAGTAAAATTAATAAAAAATGATCTAGGAAGAGTTCAATTTCTAGAATTGCTTGACACCTGCTCGGCAATCTTCTGACAACCTGTTTGCAACATACCTTTGTCTTCTAGGCCATTATGGGAAAAGTCTACATGTTCCAGCTTCAGCTGCTCGTTGCCAGCTATACTGGAGATGATCTTGTGAAATAAGGTATCGCTGCAGTAACAGTGGAGCAAAACGAAGGAAGGAACAAACCAAACAGGCAGGCCTTGACGACTGCAAACTTCAAAGACTGTGCTTATATTATTATGATAGTTGTCAGTCCAGTTGGTCGAGCTGCAACCCACCATGCACACCAATTGACTGCACTGAATGATAAATCACACTCGACTCGGGTGCAATATAAAGTCACCTTGGCGTATAATGACACTCGGCGGGGCATCAGAAAAGTGTCATTACCGTAAAGTACCGTTGATCCCCCCCCCCCCCCCCCCCCCCACGCCATGTCGCTTCCCAGCTGGTTTTTCGGCAGGGGGCGGGAATTAGATCAAGGCTGTCAAGTGCAGTACGATGTACAACAACTTGGAGGATCAGACTCGATGTGCTAAATTGTGCACATTTTCATCATGGATTGCCACATATTGCGTACAGCAGTGCAAGCGTCGGTTCAACATCGTATTTCGTTGTATACGCCGAAATCGCTTCACAGGTAGAAAATCGACAGGGGGCGGGAATTAGAGAGGGGGCGGATCAACGGTACTTTACGGTATTCGCGAAGCGTCGTTATACCCGCAGTCTCATTATATGTGTTCCAGTTAGATTGGATTTTGCTCTGGGCATGGAAATTCTGTCGATATTCGCGAATTGTCGCTATACCCGCAGTCGGTATTAGCGAAGTTGACTGTAGGTTTTATCCCACCACCTATGTATGGAGATGGTTGCCACGTAAGCATCCTCGACAAGTGCCGACACTGAGTGCAGGCAGCAGGGTCCTGGATAGCTTCTTCTCCATATGATAGCATGGTGATTGAAAGAACCAGATCACACTCAGGGCCCAATAGGAAATCCGGCTAAACTGCCTCTACTCTAAAGCTTCATGCAACCGTGAATGCAATCATAAGGAGATTATGATGAAATCGCCAGAAGACAATGATTCAACCAGGCCGGGAGACAAACCTGGAACAAAGAGCTTAGAGTGGACTATATACTGCCAAGGGTTGTGATGTCCCTCGGCACCTTGGTGGGAAAATCGTGCATGCGTGGCCAACGCAATGTACTGATGGGTGCTATCACTTGGAGAGATCGGTGTGATGGATAGTGCTGCAGCATGTTCCACAGGGGCGTGAAGTAAAGGTGCAGTGCGCCTCCTGTATGTGGAAAGAACCAGTTCATAAGAATTATCCCTATGAACTGGTATTAATATTATCGCATCCAGCAGAAAACCCGTCTCACCCTTTCAGGCCAGTTGCTTCCAATAGCACTGACTTCAACGTGGTGTTCTTGCGGAAAACATACGATAGACGCTCTTGACATTCTGGTGTCTGTGAAGAAGCAAACACCATCAGCAATCACCAGCTTCAAAACAGCAAGTTGCACTTACAAGTGTGAAACTCTCCTCCTCACATAAATGTTACATTCACACACGATCAAACAAAGACGTGCACAGCACTAACACATGTTTGCAGTCTTACCAGCTTTACGTGGCTACAGTCAAGTGTGGTGAAGAAGTCATTGAAGCACAGAGAAGCTATCAGTGGCAGCATGTCGCTGGATATGCAAGCACAGAGGGATAAACACACAGGGAGATCATGTAATCACTGGTAAGGGTACACAGCAGTAACAACCGCTCACACTCCATTCAGTGTATAGCACACTCGAACCTTTGGCTCCTCACAATAATGCGAGGCCAGAGAAGTACCTCTAGTCCCATTTGTTCTCCGTTAAGTTGGAAAATACTTCAATGACAAAGATAAGGAAATTGCATTGCTCCAAAATGACGCGACCCGCAGTATTCCATAGCTCCGACAGCATACTTACCCAGGTGCCAGATGTGCAAAATCTCGCAATTCCAATGACTTCTTGTTTGCTCCGCGATACACGGCATCAATTTGCTGTAAACAAGCACAGGGACATGAACACAGAGAGCAGTAGTAAGAAGCTGCAGTTAAGCACCTTCTGAACAGTACAGGCTCATACTATCCTATTGGTCAATGCATAATAACGTTACATGTATAGCACACCACCGGAAGTGATGTCTCACCCTCGTGGATTGCTGCGCGAAAACCAAACCCTGTACAGTGTGTATGCCGTAGGGCTTGCCGCAAGTTGTGAGTTTACCAGGTACCAGTATGATGATGGTGACAGTGCAGTCAGGAACACTGTACCCCTGGCAGCCTGGTGTCCTCCACCTTGAGGTATGGTGTCATCATACCTGGTAAACCTATGTTGTAGGTGTACATCTACTATCTATACCTAAGAACATGATGTACATCTACTATCTAGACCTAAGAACATGATGCCTAAGAACAACAGATCAAGAATTTCAACTCACCCATGCGACATCTTCCCTAATCGGCAGTTCGAAGTAGTCGCACAGAAACCGATACGCTTTCACGAAGCCACCTAGTAGGCAGCAAGCAACAACAAATAGAGGCAAAGTACACTGTGTATCATCAAACTGGGACCGTTGCTTCAAGAAGTAGAAAGCGAGAATGTGCTGCACGGGATACAGAGATGGCAGAATACACGGGCAAATACGAGCGTCCATTTCAACAGACTACACATATGTGTGTCCATGTATGGCTGTGTGTGTCCATGTACGGCTGTGTGTGTCCATGTATGGAACCTCTGTTATAAGGTATCACTGCAGTAAGAGGCCACCTGTGTCTAGAGACCGGCCATTCCAGGCCCTGGACCATTACTCAACATGCAGTGTACAGTCTAACCTGCGTTGAAAGACCACCTGTCTACAAAGACCACCTGTCAATAAAGACTGCCTGCCGGTGTGACCACGTGTCTACAAGGACTACCTGTTTATAATAAGGACAAACTTGCCTATACAGACTACTTGCCCATACAATCCCAAGTATACAGACCACCTGCTTATACATACACTGACTGTTTGCCTTGCAGCATGGATCCGTGATTGCTAAACTTTTACAAAAACACACACCATTTGACGGCATAAAGCAGCAAGGCAGCGATGAGACATATGGAATGGCAGTAGTGGGTGGGGGGAGAGAGGCAGGGACAGCTTTGCCGACCATAGGGTCTCGGCTTCATTGAGACTTGTTGGGGAATAGTCTAGTGACGTACCACACGGCCCTATGTTCTGCTGTGCCTGTTTGAGCTCGCGCTCGGCTGACGCCAGCAAGGCATTCTCTCGTTCCTCCGGCTCCACCTGCAGGCTGATTGATCCAGAGTTGACCGGCAGGTGACCCTCGATCTCGATCAACATCAGCGCGATCAACTGGTCGACCGCCGTCTGACTGACCATTTCCATGTTCAGCGGCCGACCTTTCACTGTAAGGCTCAACTGCAAGAAAGCACACGGAGGAGAAACGACAACAAAGAAAAGAGAACCAAATCAGCATCCTGTCCTGCCGAACAGTGTGCACTGCATTGACCAGAGTAGCTCCTGCTGAGCAGCAAACCCAGCAATGGCAGGCGGATTGACAGTGAAGGACATGGGGACAGACGTGCACACGTCAAACCCCAGTCATTGATCCACATGCACACATACGCACACAGACATATGCAGAGCAATGCAACTACAATGACCAAGCAAGTACAGGTACGTGACGAGAGTGGGGCAGCCGTGGCGTTGCACTCAGGTGGATTACATTGCTACCGTGTACTTCTACACATGAGACTGCGGCAAGGAGGAAGTGGCCAGTACCAGATCGTAAGTTATCACTGGCTGCATGAATCCTAACTCAACTCCAATGCATCTTCTCCCTATTCCACACAGTGTTTCAGTTCAGGTGCCTCGGTAGTTGCAAGCGGCCTGCGCCGGTTGTGTGATAACTCACCCTAGATGGTCCAACGCTCGCGATGTGTGACACATGCAGCAAATGGAAAGTCTGCTCGACCTGAAACGCACCCACAGAGCATCAATGGAGAACAAATCAAGGAGAGAGAAAACAGATAACTAGCCAGCTAACCAAGCTAACAGAATAGACAGGCAGTCAGACATGGATAGACAGAGGTAAGTAAGTTAACGGTCGACGACTAAGCAACTGAACACCACTATCGGGTGATACAACACAAACAAGCGGGATACACCGCTGCCCAAAAAGCGTACCGGCCAGTGCCAAGCAAAGATTGCCCATACATCAAAGGGGGGGGGGGGGGGGGGTCCACTGTCCCTCTGATGGTCAACATGGGGCTACACGTGAGTCGTGACGTGCCCCCCTTCACACTGTATATAAACATTGTACTGGTCAATGTTTGAGATTCCTGTGATACTGACAGGCGTTCATTTGCCTCTGGAAGATCGGTCAAGTCCGCTGACATGAAATGTGGCTACTCCACCATGACATGGGTGCTCCCGTATGGATGCGTAGGATGTTTTGAAGTAAACGCATATACATGTGGGCATACGCGAATAGACTATGGCAAAAAGTATTCACTTTGAAACGGTACATACCCTTGAATGGCCAGGTTTCTTTCCCTGCAGAATAGGAAAAAAACAAACAAGCAAAGCAAGTCCGAATTGTGCATTACAATGGGCTTGGGAAGACAACTAAAGATAGGCTGAGCATATCACCATCACCCCCCCCCCCCCCCCCCCTCGTGGCCTAAACTGTGTTACTTGAGTGCAATGTATTTGCCGAACCCTTAATAAAACACTATGTCATGTCAACCTTGCTAACCAGCAGCAGCAGCAGGGCAGGTGCATGTTACACATGCATGTGGGAGTGAGAAAATCATGTTACTGCAGTGTAGCTGGATGAAACTAGCAGGGTCCTTTGCTTTGCAGATGTTGAGGCAAACGGAATCGAATCAAGAACAGAGGGCATGTGTATGCCAGAGTAGGTCAACAGACAAATCAGTTGATTGTTTCAGCCCCGTGATACAATAGGACAGTCAGTTTCACATCTGTCACATGACCATATAGGGAAGCCATGCTGGTTCAAACTCCAGTCAATCCCGGCCAGTATGGCCAGTATGGGTCATAAGATATCGGCCATGTTGGTTCCACTGTCCATATACCATTATCACTTTCTACACAAATTTAGTCACATGACAAACTGATGTGGAACTACCCTATACCTGAGCAGGAATCTGGCCAGTGTAGACCAAACGAGTGGGCGGGTGTGTGGGATGTGTGGGCGGGGTGTCACGGATAATATTGTTTGAATTTATTTCCCAGTCGAAACGTACCTGCCCCAAAAGGTCTCCCATGACAAATGTTTCAAGTCTTAGCAGCATTTACAAGATTGTGTGCGACTGGCAAAACATATACCCACCCCTCCTCATCCACGCACCAGATAAGGGTGCTATGACTGTTATCTGCATGTCTGAAGAAATCTGTGAAATGTGTACATACCCTGCTGGCCTTTGCCACGCTGACTATGTAGACCCGGCGGTCTGAGACCACCTGTACACACACAGCAGACCACCATAGACACCAGCGTACACAATACCCGATTAGAACAGTCAACACTTTGCTAGATCAGTCTGTGGGCACTTTAAACGCTGCCCAACACGTCAGTGCCAATAAATGAATGCCCAGTCACAAACTGTCCACACACGCACACGCACATAGGCCTCCTCCTCGGGTCTCCTCTCTCTGTGTCAGTCTGTCTGTCCGTCTGTCTCTCTCTCTCTCTCTCTCTCTCTCTCTCACACACACACACACACACACACACAAACACACAAACACACACACACACACACACAAGCAGCCGCCGCCGCCGTTTTGATCAAGGATGAAAGAGTAGCAGAAGAAAGGTGTCGGTGGATTGGTCCCCCGCTTACTAAAGTTTCCATACTACTCATTTCCCAATTTTTGTCACGTTTTTTTTCATGCCATTCAACGAAAATGCAGTCGATAGTCAGTACTAGAGGGTTCATAAATGCACATTTGTCTGGGATGAAGTCAGGTGTTCGCCCTGTACGTTGCATTTTGTATTGCCAGACAGCTTGAAAATGGAAAAATGGGTTACGGAGTACTATATAAGGCCAAAACAAATAATGACCTTGTTTCCGGTCGGCCGACCGGGCCACTTTTTCCCAAATTCTGAAACTTTTTTTGGGCCGAAATAAACGGTGGCAATGGTGCACTCAACGAGTCATAACTCAGTCAAATCTCAACCGAATTCCACAATTGAAACACCTACAAGGTAGCAGAGATTCCCAGCTGTCGGCTCGAAAACCTCCGGGGTTTATACGAGCTATAATAACGGAGTTAGAAGGACTCGAACTGTTTGCTTGATTTCTCAGGATGTACGAAAACAGGAATACACCACATGCTGTACAAGAACAGTGAGTCAGTCAACTTTGACATTGATCCTTGCCATGATATATGTACAATGTACATGTGTAGGTGCTCTTGTCCATCAATACCACAACGATTGAGGAACCAAAAAAAAGTATCCAAAAAAAGTTTCATTCCAGCCGACCGAGTCTCCTTTTTGAGGGGTTGCCGACCGGAAACAAGCCTATTTTTTGTTTTGGCCTAAGCAGAAATATTCGTCTGGAATTTAATTTCGTCTTTTTCGTCCAAGGAGCATTTGGACTAAATTTAATGCCGGACTAATGTCAATTTGTTCAGCTTTTCAATACACTCTCATGATCCATGGACGAAATTTACAACCGGACGAACTCCCTTTCTTTGGAGTTGGACGAAATTATTGACCGACGGAATATTCTGCCTGTACAGCAACTGTTTTCCCTGCCCCTCCCCCTCCCCCCCCCCCCCCCTCTACTATTTCGACCTGGCTAGAACCCTGATGTTTGTATTGGAAACCAGCAAGGCGGTTTCTTGACAATCGTGTCTATCTAGACAATACACACATGCTCCAACCAACGTCGCAGAAGCAAAACAAAATTAATAACAATACGAATTCGCTGCCAAGGATCAGTGGGGCATTCCAAAAATATCACACAATTAGGACAGGATGCAAGCACCACCAGTTGAACCTGAACATGTACAATGTTTGACAGTTTGTTGAGTCTGTTGGTGGGTGAGTGACCAGAGTCAGAGATGGCTACAACATGGTCATTACAATCAGTCATAGGCTGTGTGGAGAACTGTCTTTCACTCATACGTGATAGGTGTCCAAAAGTTTGGACAGCTCCTGAATGACACACAGGACTTGTGACCGTAAACGTACGACACCATCATTCACTTCAACATTAATTTTTCTAAGAGTACACCACACCTCCGGGGCACAGCCAAGCATGGTCTGCTAGCACGTAACTGTCGTTACTGAGCAGTCAGTAGTCTGGGGAGCAGACAGTGACAGACCCTTGCAAATGAACGCTGCCAACATTTTCGGACAGCACAACTCGAAATGGATAGAACCTTTCTACTATCGTCAGGGCGGCGATTGAGCTATTTCTCTGAAGACCGTTGTGCAGCTCGTGTGCAGTGCAGTGGATAAGCAGTGAGAGGACTTACGGCGATTCGTTCCTCCCATCTTTCTGGTTTCGTCTCGAGTCGCACGACTTGTTTCATGACCACCTCCATGTCCTCCGGCAGCGCTCTGCGCACGGCGTCGCCATCTAACCGTGGATCCAGTGCAGGCACATGATCAGTCACCAAGCACCAGCCAGCGTCCATCGCATCGGCACCACGACCAGCAGCACCACCAGGTTGGAGAGATGGCAGGAGTAGCGATGCGGCACAGACGCGGAGTCGCGGGGTCAGCGTACATGACACAAGTACACGAACCAATCGAACCAGAGAGCACACACACAGAGAGACACACAGGCACACACAACAGGAGACAAAAACACAATTGTTGTCCGGGCAGTACGCAGCTGCTAATCACGATTCCAATGGCGATCAAGGTGCCAAGGCACAACAAGGAAAGACATTGCAACACAACACGAACAGTTGGTAGCCACCTGACAAAGCATCTGCATACAGCTGAGAAGGCCACGCCGTTCCATCGTACGGAGAAACCGTTTGGGGACAGGTCATGACTACCAGACGACTAGCGACCTGGGGAAATTATTCAAATAGCGATTCCGATTTCCCTCCACCCAGCTACGCAAGATCCCACGATACGGACACATAGAGCTACGCACACAAGGTGATAGCGTGTTCACCATGCACACATGCGATATGAACGTTCCTTCCTTTCAGGAAGATATTTTATTTGCTGCTTCCCCAGAAGTAACCCACTGGCTATGACTCTCATTCACTTGGCTAAATGACGGATGGGCAATGTCCGGATACCGTAGTACAGAATTTTTCTACGGGACAAATATCAGAATGCAATTGGCGATTATCATCTTCACCGCGGCTTCACGCACAGCCAAAGCATCCAAAACAGTGTTTCTACAAGTGACTCAGTCTACAGTCTGTACAGAGTCGCTCGTCACACACGCCGTTTTGCATGAATACTACTGTTGTGTAGTCGGAATACTCACCGCTCATTGTGATTTCTCGTCGACGCCTCGACGGTGGTGGCGTCCGGAATCTACACCCCTAATTTTACCAGCAGAGCTACTCCGGCACGGTCGGGTGCAGCAGCACTTCTCCTGATTCGCCGTGAGCGGAGCAGAGCAGGCAGCACTTGCACCGTGGACGCTCTCTCGAGTCTCTGCTCCGGTGCGTGCGTTCTGTCCAGGAAAATGCAGCTGTCGATTGACTAACAACCAAACACTACTCTAGAAGAGAGGAGGTGTGACGACATCCACAGCCCCTGCTGCTACTAGTACAGCGCCATACCACCAGCGTCGTTTCGTAGAGTACAGAATAGCGTGTAGGCTGAGGAGGCTACGGATGAACGGCAAGGAGGTTCAGCGCGCGGTTACTGATTCTGATGATCGATGAGGGGTAAATAGGGTAATACTATTACTAATAATATCTTTATGCAATGACTGTGAGAACGCTCGCACAGCGGGGAAGGGATTCTGCACACCTAGAAATCAGCATGGACGGCAAGTACTAGTACCAGTTATCGACCAGCTCAAATCCCCAGCAGGACTGGCCAAGCTTAGCTGTCTATCTGCTACCAGGATCCAAGGGTACTTATCGCGACGGAAGACCCTCACTGACTTCTTGCTATCGATGTCGCCGTGTCAGATCACACACAACAATAATTTTGCGGAATGTAGTCTTCACATCAAAATTATTATTTTGCCCAAGTGACAGCCAGAAAGGAGTGCAGAAGTAACGAATGTGTTGTATTCAACTCGTGAGCTAGCTGCTTCAGTTCGAAAGCAAGGCAGCTCAGTGTGTTGACCAGTCGAGGTCAGAGCGTCGAACAGAGAAGGCTGGAGCTCAGTCGTAGACTGGGGATGACGTTTGACGCGTCGTTCACGACTCGAGATAATCCCCGCGGTAGCTAGCTACTGTAGCTAGCTGTGGAGTAGAGCACCGCCTGGACAAAGCTAGAGGCCGAGTGGCAGCGCAGCAGCACCAAGGCGCGAACCACCGTCTGACCTTGTCATCTTTGGTTTGAAGATGAAATCGTTGCCTTCACCTGGCTCTCATATCAGCCGTGCCTATGGCATGTAGCCTGTACAGGCAGTGTAGCCTAGGATTGCACTTTAATTTTGTAGCTACTCGCGATGGATGAGCTTGTTCTACTTGCGCAGCACGTGCATACTGCATAGTGCCATGGAAGGCAGCCTAGCCTCAAGTAGTGGTGATTGAAGGAGGTGCGGTGAGTGAAGTAAGTTAGTTGGAAAGGCTGCTGCTTCCTGGCGTTGTTTCTGCAGGGCAGGTTCAGGATGTCTCTATTGTCTGTTACAGCAAGGACTACATGTACTGATGTAGTACATAACAGTTCAACTCAGTAAGAGTACTAAGACATCATGTACGTGGTGGCACTGGTACAGTGGTAGGAAGTACAGCACATCAGTGACACTGTACTGCAGCGTCACAGCTGGCGACTACTACTACTACTGTACTAGTACTCCGGTATAGGTAGTCATTGTACATTGACATGATTGAAGGAGTTTCATTTGCCTTCACCGTTGAAGACTTAGTTTACTAAGAACTAATTACTTACTGATACATTGTACTACTACTACTATGTATACATGTACATGTAGTACTACTACTTACTAGTACTAGTAGTAGTCTACTACTATGTATACATGTACATGTAGTACTACTAGTACTAGTAGTAGTCTACTACTACAGGACTGTATTATAAAAAGTATAATAAACTACTGAAGTACAGTAGTTGAAGCCCATCAACAACCCAGGAGTCGCCCCACCATGTATATCATGGTATATCGCCAGCATTTGGACGCTGAAGTCAAGAGACAATACCATATTATGCATACAGGTAAGTATGCACTTCACCACACTGTTGAGTTACAGAACTTATCCCGCGTATGCATGACGAACCGGGTATGCATGTGGCATACATTGTACAATGTCATGTGACATACATTTTACAATGTCATGTGACATACATTGTACAATGTCATGTGACATACATTGTACAATGTCATGTGACATACATTATACAATGTCATGTGACATACATTGTACAACGTCACATACATTGTACATGACACACTGTACTTAGCTGAGTCAAGCGTGGAACAGATTTTTAAAATTAATTACAGTAAAACCTGTCTAAGGTGACCACTCGAGTCAAGGGACCTTCCCCGATGTGGTCTCCACGAGCAGGTGGTCTCCTTATCCAGGGTCAATTATTGACTGGAAATACAGTGAAACCTGTCTAAGACGACCGCGCAAGCCAGAGACCTTCAAACCCTGGTCTCTGTTACCAGGTGGTCTCCTTATCCAGGGTCATTCGACTGGAAATAGCATTCCTTGGTGCTGCTGGCTGCAGTGGTCTTCTAGGACAGGTGGTCGCCTTATCCGAGTGGTCGCCTTGACAGGTTTTACTGTAACACCCTTGCATGCTTGGGTGCTAGTTGTAGTGGTCCTGTGGGACAGGTGGTCGTCTTGACAGGTTTTACTGTACTTTGAAGAATCTTGGTTTGCTTACATCCTGCACCATTGGAGTGCAACATTCTTTTTACAAGAATAGCACTCCCTCAGCCAAGCACGTGACTTTCACGGTAATTTAACTGTCATGCATGCTTGTATAAGGCATAGTAGTCGGGCTAGACGGTCTAATCTTCTGAGGTCCGAGTATCTCAGTGACTGAGAGGGTCCTCCGATGCCGATGCAAAATACATGCACCGACGGATATAGCTTGCACTGTGGTAGAAGGTACGTAGAACACAAAGATGGAGCACAATAGGACAGCCTTTTTGGGCAAAAGACCTCGGAATCCTCGCCTTCGGTTTCGGACCTCTGAGTTATTAGCTTAGAGACAAACATGTACACATAGTAGCAGGCTGTATTGCTGGACAGAATGCCCCAGGAACACGTGGTGAGAATAGAGGATCCACACTTCCACAGAGCAAGCACCGACCCCATCATTGTAGTCAACCTAACACCTGAACCAACTCACCTGTATTAGTACTATACGAGCACACTGTTGCCATTGGTGACCTATGCTGCCCAGAACGTGGTGGTCAGCAGCCAGGAGAGACCGAGCAGCAAGTTTTGGCAGTTTTACAACCTACCGCGTACATACACATTCATACATGTACACTACATAGTGCCATCCGTGACAATTTGAATCAACTTCCTGCCATCTGTAAATGTAATGCGTCTGGTCTGTGAATAGGTACTAGGTGTGAATGAGCATGCCAACATGTGCATGTATTAGTTGTAAGTCCGCACGGTACATTTTCAAACAAGTATATTGTACAATACTGTTCAAACTAGCTATGCACCGGACTGCCACAGCTTAGCCGTGTAGGTTCTAACCGATAAACCGACCGTTAGCAAAACAATAGCAAAACAATGTATATTTAAAAACATTCAAATGGGAGAGAGAGAGAGAGAGAGGGGGGGGGGGGGGGGGGGGGAGGGGAGGGATTCTTGCATCATATCAATGTGTGCCACCATCAAGTTCATGTTGGCGATTGAATCGATCACACCAAAGCAGACAACTTGGATGCAAACCAGAAACTCTTTCTCCTCCCCATCTCTCTCTCTCTCTTTCTCTCTCTCTCTCTCTCTCTCTCTCTCTCTCTCTCTCTCTCTCTCTCTCTCTCTCTCTCTCTCTCTCTCTCTCCCTCTCCCTCTCCGCCTGTCTTTCTTCTCTTTCTCATCCTCCTAGCTCCTAGCTCTTCTTTCATTCTCATGGGTGGTTACCAACAGCCAGTGTATGCCGGAGTATGTGGTGTGGCGTGTGTGTGTGTAAAAAAAGAATGGAAACAATGAAAAATGAAAAAAATACGGAATTCACTGGCCAGAAAAAGCCGCTTCACACAGCTGTGTGGTGGATACCAGGCTAAAATTAGTGGCGGTCAATTCATCCGTCTTGCAAGCTGTTGAATGGTGTGGTTCCAGCACAAGTTGCTATGTCTAGCATAGCTGTACGCTACCATCACTTCCACGATCGGCATGTCTGAGTGCGCGCGTGTGTGTGTGTGTGTGTGTGGTGTGTATGTGTGTGTGCATGAGCGTACCCAGCCGGACTTATCTGAGATTGATCTACATACAGAATTTAAGATTATTTTTAGTTTAATATACAGTGAAACGTCTGTTAGCGGACACGCCTCAACAAAGAAGACCTCCACCGATGATTCACAGCACACATTCCTCCAGACTCAAATGTCCACAATCAATTTAGTTGTGGCGCATTATGCAATCAGGACTCTTGATCTTCCCGAAACAAGACACATGATAATCATAATGTGTGTGGTCACTGGGCTCTGTGTTCAAAACTGTCCATAGGTGGGAGGGTCCACTGTGCAGTGAGCCTTCAGAATGAAGTACTCTGGATAAACAAACTACGGGGCATAAAGGTACTATTTTTCTGACAGTGAGTGCTATTTTGCTACTCCCTGATTAGTTTAGGACTGCATTCTGCTGTGATGCCAGTAACTTGGATACAGCACATGGGTACAGATGTTTACGTCCCTGTGAAGTAACAGTTTCACTGTACTAGCAAGAGTACATAACCAGTGGTTATTGTCCTCTTGCTACTACTGTAGTAAATGGCTTTTAAAAGTCGAGGTACGCACTCATCGCTTCCAAGCAGCCACGCATCAGTCCTGGATCATCCACACCACCAACATGCGAAGATCCAGTCCTCCAAAAGTCTTTTCGTATAACCTGACTGTGAACACTCGCCATTGTCGTTTCAAAAGAAAAACCGTAGATAGTTCTCAATCAATCACGCCTAGCTTGGAAAACCTATAAGAGAAGGCATGGAAGTACATGCACAAAAAATGGAGATTCAAAAGATCAAATTGAGTTAGCAAGCAGACCAGCTGCCGCGTGGGTTATGAAGGACTCATAAAACATGCGTGTAAAGTTACCATGATAACAGCCAGTGACGATTTCCTACAGTCCAACTTACCAATCAGGAAACACACACACACACACACACACACATACATCTCTCAACGATGTGACCCAGGATGAGATTACAGTTCCACAAGGGCCTGTTCAACAAAGAGAACCCTTGGCTGGAAGTAGCCTCAGGCTATCTCATCGAGCCAGCAAGGCCGGGAAACTCTTAGTCAGCAAACAGCGGGGAGGAGTTGTGGAAAGTTGAGTTGTGAAAACTTCCCAACTCCAACTATGCAAACAAACCTTGTCACAACGGAGAACCCTAGTCAGGACGTGACCTGGCGAGGATATTCTGCCGGATAAACTGCACGAGGTCCTTCTCGAAGACGAACAGGCATGCCAACACCATAAGAAGGCACGCGGCACCAATTGCGACGTGGATAGCCAGGTGAAACAGAGACGTATTGCAGCAGAAGATGTGCTGGATGGGAAAGAGGAACAGTGAAGAGGCCAAGAAAAGAGACATGCAATCCTTTCAGATGGACAGTACTCAGGAGCAAACTCTTAACGCTCAGCAGCTGGCTACAGCAGCTCAAATTAGCGCATGGCGCACGCAAACAACTAACTAAACTACATCATGCAGCTCGGCAAAACAAACAAAACAAAAAAAACGATCTTTTTTTAGCCTACAGCATGCACGTGGCCTGGAGCATACGGTATTTGATAGAGCAGGTCATCCAGGCAGCCCGGCTAGTCAAAGCATGCACACTAGTGGCTGGGCAGATCTAACAACACCGTCGTGTTCACCAAAACTAGCATTTTTAAAATACACATATGCACAAGCGGCCTAATTCTGGGGTGATTACGATTACTCTACTTGAAAGCAAAGTATCACCTGCACACATGTGCTTGGTTGCACTGAAAGATACAAGGTTTCGTTCAGAGGGCAAAATTCGGCCCAAGTTCTCACTTCTCAGAAGAAAAATATTGGCAAATGGCCAATTATGGGGTAGTTATCGGCCACACTTCACCAGCTCGCTGTGTAACCTTCAGGCCACACTCCGACAGTCCAGTGGCATGGCAGCTATACGCCTACGGCATACCTGTAACCATGGTTTACTGTGTTGCAAACCAATAAGATGTGAATTTATTTCTGAGAACTTATGCCAAATTTGTCCTCCAAAAACACTGGTATTTTTCAGTACAAACAAGAACATGCCTGAACGTGATAATATTTCGTTTTCAAGTAGAGTCGACGAAGGGTGTGCAGCGGGCTGGCGGGGTGTGGTCGGAAGGGGGCACAGCGGGCTTGGGCTGCATACAATAATATGCCCCCTTGTAAGTGTGACCATGCTGGTGGGTGCAAGCAATGGATTCAGTTGTCGTAACTAATTATACAGTACGGCAGAGAGCCGTGCTAGCTGGTAGAGCAGTGTGCAGTGCCTGCTCACTGCGAATGCTTAAAGGGGCACTCCGGGAACTTTTTCGGTGGTATGTTCTCTTCATGGGGGCCTTCTATGGCCCCCAAGGAATGGGGAATCGCGAAAACTACAGTCCATTCATCGGAAACTGGCCCGCTGGCTTTTGAAAGTCGGATTTGGGCCAAATTGAGGATCAAAAACCCACTTTAAATCTCAAAAATCTGGGTTTTGGATCTGCTTCTCCATACATTTTGCCATGGCATACCTGTCCTAATTTTGTAAAACCTGGCTGAATTTCTATTTCCCTGTTCTTGGACTTTTCTGGCCTCAACAGTCCATCCTCAAGCGTGCAAAAAACATATCTCTGCCACTAATCGAGACTTACACTGATTTTTGCGCTTTTGGGCCCAAATAAGTCTTGATGACGGCAAAAATAATTGTCAACTGAATACGGAAGTGAACGAATTTGGTCGAAAGTGTCGAACCATCTTCATGACGAGCAACCATTTGTGGCCACTGTTAGTGAACTTGGAGCTTGTTATGGTGTGTGTCGGCAGGAAATTTTTTATGGCGATCAGGAAACGTTTTTCACATCGAAATCAGTGGTTACCCTTTGAAATTGAGATGTTCAAACAGCGAATTTTCTACGTCGAAATGAAGTTGGAGCACCATCGAGTTTGATTATTCCGATTTCCTTGGTGGGCTAAGGTAAGGGTAATTAACAGCTAGATATAAAAATCTCACCTGTTCACGCCCTGTATAATCCAACTTCGACCTTCAAAGTGGGCGTACTCAAGCAACATAAATCATACATGCCGTATACATAAACCTTTGAAGGGAGCATGAAAAATCACCTAACTCGTGGACTTCTAAAGCCCGTCGAAACGCATGCCGTTTCAGATGTATGGTCTCGTGGTGTGTGTGTGTGTGTGTGTGTGTGTGTGTGTGTGTGTGTTATGTGTGACTGTGTGTGTGTGTGCGTGTGTGTGTCAAAATGCATGCCGTTTCCGATTTATGGTCGCGTGGTGTGTGTCTGTGGTAGGGACCGGCGGATTCTGCTCGAAAAGGTGGCAGATTCTGCTCGAAAAGCAGTGAAATTGGCAGAACCATACAAACCTTATGGCGGGCAATTCCTCGAATTCTGCTCCATTTCTTTATCCACATACCAAACATGCATGAACCTTACCAGAAAAAGTACCTATAGTCTGTTTCAAAAAGATTAGCAATCAAGTTTGGGTCTTAAAAAGTATGAAGATAAGGGAAATTTGGACAACAAAGTACATAAAATGGCTTGTTAGGGCATGGCAAATTTTTCTGTGAAGGTTTCAGAACAATTGGATCAACCGTTAAGGAGTTAGAATTTCGGCCAGGTTTCTTGCCTTTTCCCATGGTTTATAATTTGCCCTGGAAGCCAGTATCGATTTGTTATCAAAACCCACGATTTATCCCTTCCTTTTTGCCTTGTAGTTATGAATGCTGTCTGCTGACCAAGAAGTTGTGAGTTCAAATCCCAGCAAATCTTCAAGTCAAACATTTTTTCTTCATTTTTCATTGTTTTGGTGATCACGCTGGTACAATTTTTGTACAAGAGTCAAGACAAAGAAGGTGGCTGCGCCAAACGACTTGTTGTTGGAGCTCGAGTTTCCTGCCGAACTGACTGACACTTGACTGGCTCACGCCATGTGAAGTTGTGAACACACACAACACTGAAACCGTGTGAGTGAAAACGGAAGTCACTGCGCTTTAGCTACGTGTTGTTGAATGCACCGGCACATCGATCGATCGATTTCTGTTTGAGAATTATTTTAGTATTTCAAGATCGCCAATTTATTTGAATTTAGGAGTCAACGCCGTCTTCTATCAGCTTTCACAGGCGTCTGCTTTTCTCAAAATGTCGTCGAAGTCACACGGATAGCTTTGCCACATCAAGGCCTTGGGAATGAGTCTGTGTCAATGCCGTTTTCGTCACATCGTGAGAGTAAATTGCATCCACGGCAGCTCAAAGAATCTATTTGGTCACAAAACGAATTGGGACGCATCCCGCTCGTCAACATTTACCAGACTTTCGACATGTCCTCTCTGACTCCATATCGATACGAGGAAGAACTCGTTTGTTGTAAACCAGACGAACACAAAGTCCTGTACGAGTACCGACGTCAGTGAGTTGTCATTTTTCATGCTTTCGCGCGGAATATTTCTTCGAGTTCACAGTGAGTTTTTCCAGGCAGCCCTCGAGCGCTCATACGGTAAGACGGCAAACTCCCCGGGCGATCGCCAGGATTGCTAATCTTTTTGAAACTGACTATAATTCTGCCAATTTTTCTGCCGGCAGAATCCGTCGGACCCTAGTCTATGGGGTGTATGTGTGTGTGTGTGTGTGTGTGTGTGTGTGTGTGTGTGTGTGTGTGTGTATGTGTGCGTGTGTGTGCGCGCGTGTGTGTGTGTGTGTGAGTCTGTCTGTCGCGCTCACAATATCTCGTTTTCTGCTTATGAAGCTACATGTACATATACGTGTTATTTGTAGAAGATTACAATGTAGAGGTGATTGTCTGCTTTGCGTTCCTCTCTACTTGGCCTGCATTTTATCAGTACTGGTTTTTGCTCTTCACACGTACACGTGCCCCCCCCCCCCCCCCCCGCACACAAACAAACACACACACACACACACGCGTGCTTATGTATACGGTTTCAGTTTGAAAAACGCAAAGTGTCCTGTACATGTGTGCGTCTGATGCATTCACACGAACTTCAACGGCCTATGCATATACCATGCACGCGTCACTTCTCCTTTGAGGAAAGAAAACCAAAGCATATCAATGCAATCACATAAACTTTTAAAAGTGTGTGAATGTACATTGTACGTCTTGTTTATGCTGTGTGTCACTTTGCTCTGGGCATGGAAATTCTGTCGTATTCGCGAATTGTCGTTATATGCGCAGTGGTTATTAGAGAAGTTGACTGTATGTGAATGTACAAAGTACGTTTGTCTTGTTTATGCTGTATGTCACTTGCTCGGCCACCCGTGTTGCGTTCTCTCTGTTTCGGCTATTGCTATTGCACTGTTCTAGCCAGAAATTAGTGTTAATAGGGAAACCGAGTGCGAACCTGGTTAGGCTTTGTTGGTGAGGTACTCTCATGCGTGCGTATCCGTGCTCGTTTGTATTCCTCCGACGGTGTGGCACACACATGTGATGTATGCGAAGTGTATCCGGCATGTACGAACAGTGTGTGTGCATCTGCGGCACGCATGTATGGCATGTTTGTGCTCCACGTGTGCATGTAGGATCTAAACGTGTGTAACGCAAGCGTGTGGGGCACACCCAGTACGTCTGCGGCACCGTGACATATCCAGTATGTGATGTCCGACACGGGTGTGCAGGCGTGGCGCGTGGGCGTGTTCGCAGTGTGCACGTCTATACTCCAGCGTATTGTCCACTTTCCTGGTCCCAGGAGTGTTTTGGATCTGTGGAAAACACGTGAACTGAATACAGTGGAGTTAGTTTGAACTCTTGCGTGCTTTCTGTGCACAGGTTTATCTATGGAATTGAGTATGGTCAAGAAATGCGTCTGAAAAACCTGGAGCACCATCGATTTTGCCATAACCATTACTCGAATGTCCGAGAGCAGGGTCGAGGGCAACCACATTGTCGAAAATTACATCTGTTCACGCCCTCCTTTCAGGTTACTGGCTCGTTTTCGCCGACTGCTCTGAATCGTACGAAAAATTCAAATGTTCTCCGCCGAATGGCACCATCACAAAGTCTTTCGCATCATTTTCGATATGCCCCTCGCGAACATACCACCTTCCTGCACCCATACACCACAAACAATGCATGCTCCATTCGACGAGGTGGGTGTCATGAGTGTTCTTTCACGTCAGTCGCCGAAAGTCATTTCAGGGTGAGAATCGTTCTCAAGAAAAAGATCGCAAAAATCAGTGTAAGTCTCGACGGAACGCTTGAGGATGGACTGCAAATGTGGCAAGGAGTAATTGCACGGGTCACACAATGCAGGATGTACTGTTGTTTTCACGATATCTACAACTATGTGACAGAGACACCAAAAAGTTAGGGTGCCAGTTTCCAATGAATGGACTGTAGACCCAAAAAGTCGATACATGAAGCCAGGGAGGGCCAAGTTTGTCTCCTCTTTTGATGGTTTTGATGACGTCACGTGTGCTTAGTATTCAAATTCTCTGCATTTGAAGATCTTAGTTTGAATTTTCTGGTGATGAAGAACGATATTTGGTCGGCATTCCCAAGCTTCACAACTGCGGCCATACTCTAAGGAACCTGAAGGACCTCCTGAGGTGCCCCTGGTAGAAGCGCAGCCTGATGAGGGCCAGGAGATTGGAGCGGACGACTTCACTGGTCGGAGTACGAGGATCCCGAAATTCTCTATACGCCGTGAGGCATATGGTCAGAACAGTTTTGTTTAGACAAGCTGACGCGAAGTCGGGGTGATGTGTAACGCATGTCAAAGGGCTGCCAATGCTAACAGCTGCAGTGCTCTCTCGACAGCAAAGGTAATCGACCGCCCTCTGCATCACCCCACATTTCTGGCAGGAACACCAATCGTTATTTCCTTGTCGACCAGTGAAGTCGTCCACTCCAATTTCCTGGCCCTCATCAGGCTGCGCTTCTACCAGGGGCACCTCAGGAGGTCCTTCAGGTTCGTTAGAGTATGGTCGCAGTTGTGTAGCTTGGGAATGTTGACCAAACATCGTTCTTCATCACCAGAAAATTCAAAAAAGTAAGATCTTCAAATGCAGAGAATTTGAATACTAAGCACACGTGACGTCATCAAAACCATCAAAAGAGGAGACAAACTTGGCCCTCCCTGGCTTCATATATCGACTTTTTGGGTCTAGTTTTCGCGATTCCCCATTCCTTGGGGCCATATAAGGCCCCCATGAAGAGAACACACCACCGAAAAAATTCCCGGAGTGCCCCTTTAATACAGGCCCCAAGTGCCAGACTAATTTGGCCACACACAAACAATGTACATGTAGGTGCGGTGTGACTGCTGGAAAATACTCTATAGTCTATACTAGCACATTGAAATCCCCATCAAAGCGTTTCGTAATAGCCACAACTTGGCCTTCGTTCCTTACCTCGGATAGGACAGTCACAAACAGCGAAACAACCAATGACAACCATGTAGCTGGTGCAGGCATGGCCTTGCTGAGAGGGTCCTCCGACACCGATGCAAAATACCGGCGGATATAGCTCGCACTGTGGCAGAACGTAAAGATGGAGCACAATAGGACAGGCTTTTAGGCAAAAGACTTCGGAACCCTTGCCTTCGGCTTCAGACCTCTGGGTTATCAGCTCAGATGAACATGTCCACATAGTAACAAGCCGTATTTTAGGACAGAATACCTCAGGAACATGGGGTGAGAATAGAGCAGGCACAGAGCAAGCACCGACCATATAATCGTAGTCAACCTAACACCCTAGCTAACTCACCTGTACACTATACGAGCACACATCTGCACGCTGTTGGCAATGATGAAACCTAAGCTACCCAGAAACGTGGTGGTCAGCAGCCAGGAGAGACCGAGCAGCATGAAGGAGAAGAGCAGCATTTTGCGGTTGTATCTGCACCACAAAAAAACAACAACACGCGAATGGGAGAGAGGGAGGGAGAGAGAGGGAGAGAGAGGGAAAGAGAGAGAGAGAGAGAGATTCTTGCATCATATCAATGTCAGGATTCATTAACCAGGTGGCAGAGAGCGCTATTGGAGCTCTACTATGGTCTATATACCATTCAAATAACAATCGTAAATTGCCTCTGCAGCATTTAGTATTTACACAATGAAGACCATGCATGACACCGACAAGGGTCCACTTCACCGATACATCATCTGCCATTACAATTATTAGTGACTGTTCTGTGCTCATGTCCGGCCCAAGGCCATGCTTTAAACTACAGTCAGGCCTGTGTAGAAAGAGCAGCCATCTCCAAAGATTGGTGTGGTGTGCCAAAGACAGCGTTACTAGTAAGTACATATCCAACCGGTACTCTGTATACCGCATTTTCAGGCCACACTGGCCGACGCGGTAAAATAGTTTGCGAGCCGCCTAAATTTTCACCTGATTTGAAGAAAATCCACAGAAAGGTCCCGAAATGACGAGGCGCTTATTTCAGACAGGCGGTAACCAAAAGACCGGCCCCAATTTCAGAAAATACGGTACCGATGATGGCTTACCGGTCAATCTCCTCTTTGCTCATGGTGGCAAAGTAGAAACACTCCGTCATACCATTCACAGCCAGCACCAGCACGTAGAAGCAGTACGTGCGTAAAATTGCCGGTCCTGCAGGAGACAGGATACACATATAAGTAGATACAGTAAACTACTGTAAAAGCCTTGTATACAAGAGAGAGAGTTTGGAAGCTTTGTCACAACTCCGACTTTCACGTATCTCTACGATCATCAGGCAAGAGATACGTGAAACTCTGTGTTGTGACAAAGCTTCCAAACTCTCTCTCTTGTGTACAAGGCTCTGCCCTACATGGGCATTGAGCACTCTTCGGACAGTGAAGCACACCACTTGACTACGTAAAAGCCATATATATCACGAAGTGCTAACTCTAACGAGTTAACGAGGAGAAATCTGTCGTTAAAATAGAAATTGTTATACAGAAATCGATACATATACTGTCCTATTGAGCGTTGAGAATGAGTGAGAATCGTTACCTTTGGTACACGTAAACTAGTCAATTTTGGGAAATCGTTATATATAAGTGTTATATGCGCCTCGCTAGAATAATGGCTTTTACAGTAATAGTAATTGCAAACCATACAGAAAACTAAGTACAAACTCAGGGACGTAGCTGGTCCCCTTTTTCGGGGGGGGGGAGGGGGGGGGGTGGTATGGCCGCAATGTGAAGGATGGCTGGTGCATGTCATTCATGGTCATTATGTGCATGCTGAACCTTTGGGGGGGGGGCATGCGGGCTACGCGCCTGAAACCATAATTATCAAACTATTTAAAGTGCAAACCATACAGCCGTGCTCCGGAATCCCAGGGGTTTGCCATACACGAGACCTACAGGGTACTTCACAGTCAAGTAAACAGCTTGTGCTGTAAGATTCTCAGCAGCGCACACCCTGTAGCTGCTAGCTATCCATCATTGCTCAGACCAACCAGGTTTGTGGACAAAAAAAACGCAACTCATATGAAGCTTAATGGGTGTCAACAACACTCCCTCTCACAATGCCGTCATGCACAGACAAATATGTTCACAAGACTATTATGCTACTGCACGTGTTTCTCAAAGAGTTTCTTCCTAAAGCAAATCGCCAAACAATTCAGCGGCCGCCGTACTCTTGTGCAGGCAAATCAGTAGGTGAACATGGGTAACAATGTAGTCATGTCGAAAGATCAAGGTTTGTCTTACACAAGTGGATGCAAGGGTCAGGCTTTTAGCTGTTTACTCATAGCTGGCTTGTATTCAAAGTCGGTACTTCCACCTACAAACCTCTATAGGACGAACACCAAGGGACCGACGAGATTTGTTCACAATAACGGGAGTTCTTCTTATCCATATCTTATACCCAGTGAATACACAGTGATTTATCCATTAGAGTTATGAATACTAGTTCTTCTGAAGCGAAAGTTTCTTCTTAACCAGGTTTCACTGTACTTGCAACCATGGATGCCAACACAAAGGTAGACTTGTGATCAAAACTGGCTACACATTTAGTTTAACACATGCCATTATGTACTAGTGTGTAGGAAAGACAGAACAAAGCCACTTCAATCAGCCGTGTGGTGTAGACCAGGGGAAAATTAGTGGCGGTCAATTCATCAGCCTTGCAAGCTGTTGAATGGTGTGATCCTAGCGCAAGTTGCTATATGTCTAACATAGCTTGTTCGTTATCATCGCTTCGGCGATGGGCAGGAGTATGAGTATGTAGGCAAGATTACACAGAGAGCATAGCCATACCGGGAGACGCAGTCAGCTTGTCGCCGCCGTAAATCATTAGCAGTAGATAGGAGTATGACCATCCGAAGACCACGATGATCAGGCCGACGAGAAAGACAAACTTGAGCAGCACACTGAGGGCCGACGATGCCGTCTTCACCACCGCCTGTGGTGTGACACGACAGCACACCAGCAAGCAAACACACACGCACACGCACATGAGAAAGAGAGAGAGGGGGGGGGGGGGAGATAAAGAGTGAATGAGATAAAGAAAGAAAAGGAAAGAGAGAGAGTGTGTGTGTGTGTGTGTGTGTGTGTGCGCGCCGCGCGCGTGCATGCTCGCGTTTACTCTTCCCGTCTTACTTTTATAAAATCTAAACCACAACGAAATCCATATAATCAAGTAAGTTGTCACTGCATAACTCATGAGTCCTGTACCTGTGTATAGACCCCAGTCAGACACCAAACCATACTTTACTATACACTCCTGCTATCGAAGAAAGCAGTTCATCTGCCTGATAGGATAGATGTTCTGTGCAATATTCAGATCAGTATACGTAGGGTTGGCTACACAAAGCGATAGTGTGACAGTGGGCACAACCCACCGGCGGTTGCTGGTCAGCCACCAGGCCACGCTGTAATGTTGTCGTGAAGAAGACACTGTAGCTCTCCTCAATCGGCATGAACACAAAGCGTGCCACCATCGAGCCCAGGTTGGCGATCGTGTCAAATATACCTGTGTACAGCAGCATACGATACGAGAGAGAGAGAGAGAGAGAGAGAGAGAGAGAGAGAGAGAGAGAGAGAGAGAGAGAGACAGAGACAGAGAGAGAGAGACAGAGACAGAGAGAGAGACAGAGAGAGAGACAGAGAGACAGAGAGAGACAGAGAGACAGAGAGAGACAGAGAGACAGAGAGAGACAGAGAGACAGATATTACGACATAATCCTTGAAGCAGTAACACTGTAAGACGTAGTTTCTAGCATGATAATTATATGCTCACAGCTTCACACTCCAGGGTTGTTGTGCCACATGGACAATGACACCCATGACTACAAGATGAGCGCCCACATGGCACAAGTCAAAATTTGATACCTTGATACGGACGATAGAGGTTGTGCATCGCAAATATTTGTAAGAATTGGCCGCTAAGGCCTGAAGTAACGAACGCAGTACCGACTTTCAACAACTTTCGAAGGAAAAGCTCAATTAATTTCCGTTGCACTCACCGTACTGCCACAATAGTGTACGACACCTGTGTACTGCCCGCAGAGTGAGCGCGTGCAGGCCTGACTGTCGACACCTATCCCCTACTACGACAAACTTGACGTTCCCTCTTCTGGGCATGCTCCAAATCAACCGATTTAGCAGCCTCTTGTTGTTGTTGCCTGACCCGTCGAACGCTGCGAAACTTCGTTATGCGCAAACTCTCTAATGTTTCCCAAGATCGGAGCAACACACCATGATAATTAGAAAGTGACAGGAAATGCATTCATTGGTTTGAGGGAAAGATGCAAACGGAAAAGCAGATAATACATGAGAGAAAGAACTTACCTTGCTCCTGGAAGGTCAGGGCTCTGAAGAACGTCATGACATAGCGTTCCCCTGTACACGCAGCAGCAACAGCGGTAGGATAAGACATGTCAGTGTGCACAGGTGACACTAAATTACTGTCAGTGACCGAGGCAAAAGGCCAGAGAGGCATGTGGACATTACACACTTGCCAAGTCATACTGAAAATCAACAAAATATCGGCACAACTGATCATCAAAGGACATGTCTCGCCATCTCAGCAGTGATTGAACTGTCAGCTCAAATTCATGATGCAGGTTAATGATAGTAGTAGAGTGCCATCATTCTGTAAAGTGTACAGAACCAAATGTATACTGGTGATCTGGGGTACAATCACACGATGTGCAGCAAGTAGTTGTTGTTCTCACTTAAACCTATGGACACAATGTTGCAGGGTTGGTGACAAACTCCAGGTTTAGCTGGCAATGGCTTTAATACACAGTGCTAAACTTAAGATGGTGATCGAAAATGGAAACTGTGATTGGTCATAGGAGTGTACGTAATGAAGTGACTGGTAACTGGGACAGTGACTGCTCAAAGAGCTCTTGACTGGCTATAGAAAGCTGCACAAGTGCTCCCAATGTGGCGGACCGGCCAGCGGCTAGTAAGCAGTAATCAATCATACCTTCCGTAAGGATTTGCTTGAAGAAAGACTGCTTGAAGAAGCTAACCGCCAAGTAGACAAGTCTGGGTGATGTCCACGTCGATAAGCTTAGTAACGGCTAAGAAAAGAGATCACGCATAGGTAAACCGAACACAAGAACAGTGCAAGCAGATAAGTTTTCCATAATCAGGACAACATTTCCAGTCTCCAATGTTTCTGATCAAAGCTGCACTGAGGATACCATCCTATCTACACAGGAGACGTACGGAAACAAGAGGCTCTACTGTACTGTGCTGGTGAGGTAGAAGAAATGAAAGGAATTAGGCAAGATCATAAGTGCCAGTAGGGATCTAGTTTATGGACAGTATGAGCATAACCAGGCTCTTTATTTAGCAAAAGTCGCCAGTTACTCAGCAGCCACTGGGATTCAAGCTGCCAAGTTTCACCTTTACCTGGTTTGGCGCTGGCTGTGGCAAGAGGTCGCCCCACGAACTGATGGGAATGGGCGATGATTTATCCTTGATCACGCTTGTGAAGAAGCCATAGTAGAGCATGACAAACACGACGGCATATAGCACCTGCAAACAACAGCAAGGGACAGCCACAAGAGCACAGGGGAGTAGGGAAGAATACTGTAAAATCCATAGCAAAGCATATTGCCTCTGTGTAAAATCCATATGATTGTATAACGAAGTGCTAATTCTAACGAGTTAATGAGGAGAAATCTGTGGTTAAAATAGAAATCGTTATACAGAAATCTGTTGCTATTGAGCGTTGAGAATGAGTAAGAATCGTTACCTTTCGTACACGTAAACCAGTCAATTTTAGGAAATCGTTATATATGCGCCTCGCTAGAATAATGGCTTTTACAGTAACACGAATTTCTTTGGCAGCTCTCAAATCACTTGCGAGCAGGCGGGTTTTGCCCTGCTAACTGGACCTGTATGTACAATCTAGAAGCACGAAAATAGTGGAAAGAACACGGCAAAGTGCCGGACCGTTCTTATCTCACGGAAAGGGCTTGGGCTTGCAGTGTCCCTAGGAAAGGATGCATACAGCCAAATTCGTCTTCTAGAGATGGATGAGCTGCCAAAAAGCCTCATGACTATGTGCAGAGAGTCAGAGACTACTACAGTTGTGCTCAGTGAAATACGACCCAGAGTGCAAAGTTAGCACCCTCAACTTGCATGGCCCTTGACGCCCTGGAAATGGCACAAAGTACAAGTACAGTGGTGCAATCAAAACTAGTCCAGGGCATCAGTTTAGCACTACGGGTCAGATTTCAGTGACCGCAACTGTCGTATACACACGTGCAAGCACATTTACAAGTACAGTGCAGCTCTGTTTTCAATCGTGTGAGTCAAGCTTGCACCCTGTCCTAGGGGATAGACAGTACTGTACATTGTATGTACAAGCCAGTACTGTAGAGCACCGCAAGTATCTGCACGCCACAGCAGCACCGAGAAGAGAGGAAGGCAGCAGCAGCAGCGGCAACCTCAGAACGGAAAGACCGGCAGCTGCCGGGTGTGCGGCCAGACTTACGTAGGATATGCAGAACGAGAAGAGTCCCCATTCTGGATACAGGGCAACCAGCGTGCCGGTGAGGATAACACGCGCTGCCAGTGCACCGCCCTCCACCATCACCTGCCAGGCCAAGACGTCAGTACAGTCCGTACGTACACCACATACAGCAACAGATCAAACAGAGCGATGGAAATGACACTCAAAACCAACAGCCCAGTACAGCAATGTAACAAGGCAACACTGCCTGTTTGTTCTTCGACATTACATAAACCAAACCAATCCAATCCAGCAAAATCTGCCACAATGTGACTGGGCTAAGGCAAACGCTTAGCAGATTGTGCTAAACTAACCCCCGTGTATACTAGTAGGTGGTCCAGTGTTACTGCACACGTAGACGTAGACCTGTTTTGATTGAGAGCCACATGACTGTTATGATAGGCTGACTGGCCAGGGTGAGGCACCCACTACCCACCGTACACTGGTAATGATAGGTTGACTGGCCAGGGTGAGGCACCCACTACCCACCGTACACTGGTAATGATAGGTTGACTGGCCAGGGTGAGGCACCCACTACCCACCGTACACTGGTAATGATAGGTTGACTGGCCAGGGTGAGGCACCCACTACCCACCGTACACTGGTAATGATAGGTTGACTGGCCAGGGTGAGGCACCCACTACCCACCGTACACTGGTAATGATAGGTTGACTGGCCAGGGTGAGGCACCCACTACCCACCGTACACTGGTAATGATAGGTTGACTGGCCAGGGTGAGGCACCCACTACCCACCGTACACTGGTAATGATAGGTTGACTGGCCAGGGTGAGGCACCCACTACCCACCGTACACTGGTAATGGTACTGGACGAACAAAATTACTCAATCCACATGGATGCGAGTGAAAATATTTCCCACCTGTATAGAATGCAACGCCAACAATGGTACGGCCGAAGAATTTCTCCCGCAAAATTTCAAAGGGCGCAAATAAATTAGTTGCAAGTCCCCGCTGTGCCACAATACCACTGCCACCATCACAATGGCGTGTCCTCACCAGCATAGCTGATACAGTGAAGGCTGAACACACACACACACACACACACACACACACACACCACACACACACGCGCGCGCGCGCAAACACACGCCTTACCTTGACGCGTACGTAGAAGTACCGCTGCGCCAGGACGTACAGGGGTTCGGCCATCAGCTCAGCTACCGTGCAGACAGCAAACGCAATCACGGCCTGCGGGTAATCGGGAATGTCCACAACTGGCGGCTGCTCTAGCAGAAAGATCCACACGGCGGACAGTAGACCAGTACAGAGGACACCGATCGGTACACTAAACAAGAACGTGAAGAACAGAACAAAAGCCACACGTCCATACCCTACATGTGCAATCCTGATAATTCGAATATGGCTTAATTCGAATATACATGCACCGCTTAATTAGAAGTTTTTCCAGGACCGATTTCTATCAATACGATTCCCACATGAACAAATTCTGATAATTCGAACCTCGAACTGGACATGTCCGGTTAATTAGAAGCCCCACGGATTCCACTTACCGTATTTTCCGGGGTATAAGTCGCACCGGGATATAAGCCGCACCCCCCCTTTTGAGGCAAAATATTGACTAAAGGTTGGTATTCGGAGTATAAGCCGCACCCACAAACCAAGATTTTTCACACTCATTGACAAATGGCCTTTCTACAAATTTATTATGGTTAGGCCACCCAGAATTAATTCGTTGTTTCGGGTCACCCGACCGACCGTCTTTTTTCACCCGACCGCAAAATGTTTTTTTATTGTGCATGCAAATGTACATGACTACGTTGTATGTAGACTGTATGTAGACTATGTACACACAGTTGCAGACGACCCTACAAAGGCCCTAAAATGGGCTACTTGTAAATAATAGCAGTCCAGACATCGATCTCAGAGTCAGAAGCAGCCCAATGACAGGCTGCAGCGCTTGCATGGTGACGACGTTGTATTCTCCGATCCGTGATCGGTCCTGAAACAGCATCAGCTCCACCACTGCGTCGCTCATTGACAGAGGTTTTGGTGAGAGCTGCTCAACAGACTCGTTTGCTAGCGAGGTCAAGATCTGGTCCTGGAGCTAGCTGGGGACCTGGATCTGAAGGGACACTGACTGCGCTGGATCGTCTAGATTTGGTCGACTGGCTTGATGGACAAAAGCTATTCGATATTATGTACCGGTATGCACATGGCGCATGGCAGTAACCAAAATAAAAAATAAAATAAAATAAAAAATAAACCCGACCGACCGACCCTGGAACGGATGAGTGAAGTGACCCGAAACAACGAATTAATTCTAGGTGGCCTTATGGAGCTAAATACCATGTTAGATCAGATTATGAAGTGTTAGTGCACCACAGGTTGCTGCAGAGATGTTGGTGTATTGCTGTGTTGACTACAGATCACTCCATGTTGACTACAGATCACTCCATGGTATTATCGTATCGCTGTATACTAGGATGTGTGGAAACCGGCACTTGCAGTACGCAAAATAGAGTCCCCGTATACGCGTACCGTATGGTGTAGCCCGCGAACTAAAACTGGTAAAAGTGCCAGGATAGCAACACAGGCGCGAAGCTGAGTCGAATGACATGTCACATGACGTCAGCATGCATACTGATGTATGCTAAGCATTCATTCGCGCAAGCATATTCGGTGTATAAGCCGCAGGGGCGATTTTGGTCCGATTTTTAGCGAAAAAAAGTGCGGCTTATACCCCGGAAAATACGGTACATAGAAAATGTGTGGGATTTGTGCTGATGATTCGAAGTTAGCAAAGTGTAATTCGAAGTTCACTGTACATTGTACTGGTCAGTTCAGTTTGCATGAGCAGGCTGTGCCGGTCAGTTCAGTATAGATGAAATCTGTGTCTAAGGTTCATAGCGCAGCTCTGCGTGACCATGAGAGCATTTTGACATACATATTGTGTTGTGGGTGCATGTTTGGACAATTAGAACTTTTTTCCTGGCATTTTGAGGTGAGAATTATCAGGATTCCACCTGTATACTGTTAAGAGTGTAGTGACCCGCCTAGTCAAGCTATGTTATGTTGTGTTTATTTTACAAGTCAGAATGTGCACGAAATCACAGCCCAAATACAGGTCTAAACAGTATGCATGCACAAAGTAAAGAACAAGAAGCAATCAATGGAGAGTTAGCCAAACAAGACCTCTCACAATGTGGACAAGTGGCCACACTATAATAATAATTCAAGGTTCGCGTGAGACTCCACTAGATTGAGTTTTCCACATCCGTAGGAACGCCACCACCCTCAAGTCATCAAGTCATCAAGTCATCAAGTGGCCAATGTATGAATGCAGAGAGGTAAGCCTGGGCACAAGGCCATGGCTATGACTTACGTAGCCCACATCAGATTGACGACATGTCGCACATTGCAGCCTTCGTCCGTCTTGCTGAGGCATGCCCGTCGCAGTGCCTCGCGCGACAGGAAGAGGCCCGTCGTGTACAGAAGAGTCAGTCTGAATGGACCAACAGCACACAACAACACCGACGGCGATGACAACAAGAATAAGAACAAGAACAGCAGCCATTGTGAGAATAAAGATTCGAAACAACAACAACAACAACAACAACAACAACAACAACAACAACAACAACAACAACAACAACAACAACAACAACAACAACAACAACAACAACAACAACAATGTCAGAATAAAGATTTGAAACAACATGACCAGTACAGGAGTATATTGCCAAAACAAGATAGATCTTCCACTATGCGATCATTGTCTATGGTGACCATAACAATACACGATTCCTTCTAATCTGAACGAACGAAGGTTCTGACAGTTTGTTAGAAGTAGGGCTATCGATTTTATGAGTGTTAGCATCTTGCAGCACTTTTCCTCGCACAGTTGTACACATTACCTCATGTAGAACAATAATCCATGCCTGAGCAATCTGCTAGTATGTGCAAACTTTGAAGGTAAATAGTGGAAAGGTATTACTATTATTTCAATCGTTTGTTGCTATTCTTGTAGTTGCATGCTCTTGGTATGCATTTCCACAGTGTAAAGTGCCAGTTGAGACTACCTGTATGCATGTTCAGAAACCTGGCTTCGAACCTTCCTTTGAATTGCGATCTTCCTTCTTTCGATTTGGAAACGAATACTAGCAGTAACCAAACCTTCGAACCTTTGTTGCAGCCCTAGAATATATACACACTTATCATATCAAATTTGCCTTGAATAGGTCAGACTTGGTCCGGGGGAGGGGGGAGGGGGCATTATACCCTAGCAAGTCAGTAGTTGAACATTCAGCAGAGTTCCGCAGCAGAGTGGACTAACCTGACGTTAACAACACCCAGCAGCTGCTTGCTGATGCGCCGGACAATGAAGGCGTTCAGGACAAATGTGGCAATGCGAAACAGCAGCTGTTGAAGCAACACAGGCAAACAGACAACCATCACTCGACAGCAACATCATGCAGAGCATTAACCGCAGACAGACTACAAGTAGCCATCGTCATTACAGCACTTCACTCATTGGCATCACACTATTCCCGACACCAGTGCATCAATCGCTACCATCAATCTACTTCTGCAGATGGTCTTACACAGAGAGCAAGGCTGGAATATGCAAGGCCGTAACCATCCACTTCAGACCATCACAGAATTCTTTGGTATGTTGTATGCGGATTGACGTACAGTTGGAAATAACGTGTAGTATCGTAGATAATATTCTATAAAAAAGAAGAAGAGACTATGAGGTATGGCTCCCGTCACACTAGTCTTCTGAAAAACAACTGCACTGAATGAATACCCTTCCCCCAACTACCACCACCACCGAAAAGCCAGCTGCTTTCCACGACCGCCAAGTCTGTACAACCGCTTCCCTGTGGCACTCAATGTGCCAGATGTGCAGCATTCAACCCCAATTCCATTGCGTAAGATTGCATGGGATTGCCTGGGCTTCACGGTCCTACAGCGAACGGAAACAACTGTCACTTCCCTGGGCAGTGACTAGTGGGCTTCACTGACCCATCACAACGTACCAAAGATGGAATTTATTCTTTCGTGCAGGTAAGCGGTCGTCCATAAAATATCGAACTTTTTTCACAAAACGAAATAATTTCGTTATGGGGTGGGGGTGACCACTTTCGTTTCAGAAAATATTGATACAATGTACACACCAGTAGGAGCAGTGACACTTGCGGCTTTTGTTGTGTAGGTGTCAACATTTGTTTACGTTCCGAGGGGGAGGGAGGGAGGGGTTGGGTCTAAACTAAAATAATTCGTTTGGTGAAAAACGTTCGATATTTACGGACGGCCCCTGAAACGCACGGTGTAAAATATTGCCAGTGCGCTACTGTTACAGTATACAGTAGTCTAATTGTGAATTATTACCGGTGGTTTATAGGAAAGAAACAGGACCAAGAAACTACAAGTTACACAAGTTACGGTAGAACGTCAGTACCGTCGGTCAGTGTCGTGCAATGTTTCGCATGAGCTGACTGTTTAGTAACAGGTGGTGTTAGTGGACATTATAGCGTAACTTGTAGTTTCTTGGTCCTTTTTCTTCCCTATAAATTTATCATTGGCTCCTCATCCAAGTCCAATACTGGTGGTAATGACTTATTCATAAGTTTGAGGGATTGAAAAATGACTTTGGCGATATGCTGGTAGCTGCGTACATGGGAGCTCGCACGTATCAAGTCAAGTCGGCGGGGAAAAGTACGAGTAGGTTCCAATATAGACATTCCACTGATGACTGTGACATGACAATCGATTTTGGAAAACTTTCATGACTCCGTTGTTGCGTGGCGATGACGGCAGAATTTGTTCTCTTTATTGCTATTTGAAAATACGTAGTCAAGTGGTTTGCTTCACTGTCCGAAGAGCGCTCAATACCCATGTAGGGCAGAGCCTTGTACACAAGAGAGAGAGAGATTGGAAGCTTTGTTACAACTCAGTTGCCTGATGATCGTAGTAATACGTGAAACACAGAGTTGTAACGAAGCTTCCAATCTCTCTCTTGTGCTATTTTACTGTATAGAGATGAACCACCATTTCTAGTGTAATCATGCTATCCTGCTGAAAAATCCAAAATGAACTTTTGTGCTATTTGACACACAGCTTCATCTCATACCTTCTCAATGTTACGTTCACTTTACTACAGTCCATTCAGAAAAAGATGGACTTCTAGCTTTTGGCCATAAATGGGTCAAACGTTGAGTTTTTTTAGAAATTTTTTCTGCAATCCCCTATGGAATCCTCTTCCAATTATGTTTCTAAAGTCTATTTCTCCAAAAAGCAAGCCGTAACAAGAATAGTATTTCGGCCAGGTTTTGCCCCAAGAGCACTGAATTGGGAAAGACCATCAAAATCCAGGCCGTTTGATCCTGCCTGCAACAGTGCATTGTACGGTTCGAACCTAGGTGTTGGCGGATAATGCCGGCATTATATCGAGCATTATACACCACCCGGAGCATTACAAGCATTATAAAGCATTACGAGGCCAAAAATGGCATTATACGACGTTCTACACGACTGCATAGTAGATCTACACACATCCTCATGTACAGATTCGTATACGCGTATCGGATAGCGTTGGTCTTTGATTGGCAACATTTATTACTATACTATACGCGATGTATTACATTGTACTACAAGCGATAGACCACCGCACACATCATGCATGGTACCAAACAGATCGTGGCACGCAGTCCCAGGCCCAGTATACTGCATGCAGTATAGTGCTAGCTAGCTGTAGTCCAGCACAGTCAGTGTGGAAACTCTCGCAGAAACTTCCGGTCCCGGAAGTCTATCTTCGGGCAGCAACTAACTTACTTACTTACTACATGTACATGTACAATGTAATACTTTTTGAAGATCCAGGTAACAACGCCGAACCAACGAAACAAATGTGAGCCAGCATGGAACGGTGGAGGTGCGCACACGCACACATTCCAGACCTTACCCGGTTACCGTCCACAATGTTACAAAAAACATTTTTCATCGAAGCAAGAGTCCATGTCTTTGTCGAAGAGTAACGCTGGACTTTCACCGGACATTGAGTCAAGACCAGCTAACTAGCAGCCAACGCTGATGGCTGACTCGCCGCGATGCCGTTCTTGGGATTGGGAGGAAGCTGGGCTTTCTCCAGATGAGCTTTTGGCGGAGTCCTCTGATGATAGTGACGTCGTCGAGTTGGAAACTGCAGATCCTGCCGCGATAGCGAGGAAGCGGTCTTTTCAGAAAACAGCTATTACCAAGTCTGAAAATGTTTCCAAAAGGACGCAAGTAGCTCATGGACAGAGCACTGAAGTGGCCATCAGTGCCGAAACACGGGTGCGGAGCCGCTCAAAAGCAACTGTGGCAAGTAGTTAGTGTGCCTGGCATGCCATACAACATTGTCAGGGAAGAAGAGTATAATCATGTCCCATATTGCTACCGTGAGACACAAACAAGAAAAGTCCCGTTTGGAAAGGGAAACTCAGAGGCAGAAGCTGGTCAAAGAGTAATTCTTGGCGTATCAGAAACGACTTGGGAAGGCTCTAGCCGGCACCGGTCTTACTGAGGCCGTTAGTTCAGCCGAGTCTCTGCGGCGGATCCAGATTGTGCGTTCTATGTTGCATAGCATGGGTGCAATATTATAGCGTTTTTCTTAGCCCGATACCGCAAGGTTCAGCAGTTTATATTCCATCCGGCGGAGCATTATCAGCATTATTTGGAGCATTATATGGCCTTTTGTGGAGCATTACTGATAGCATTATATCCCATATTGCCGAGCATTATCCGCCAACACCTATTCGAACCCCAGTTCAGGTACCCTTTTTGGACCCTTTTTTCAAATTTCAAACTTCGCAGCACTGCACTGTGTACGATAAAATCTTGAAAATTCGCCAAATACAGGAGCTCGCCAGAGCCAGGGCCCATCTTTTTGTGAATGGACTGTACTTGTAATACTTTGTGCTGCGACAAGTTAGTATTACCGCATTTCAAAATTCACTGGCTGGGCATTCGATTTGTCTTCTAGACGATAGCGTAAGCTACTACAAACTGTACGTGAATGTAGAACACAACCACTATGGTTCTTCTCTCACCTGAAGAATGATATTGTATCCAGCTCCACGTCCTGCACTTTGCAATGCATTTTTTGTATTGCTTGCCATGGCGAATCCGTGATCATCAGCAAACACTACCTACGTGCACATTACACAGTGCTTTTATTCATGATACTCTATGCGGAATTACCACGACACGTTACGTGGAACTAAATAATTTTCTTGACGACGAAATAGGAATCGACTTCTCTTCTTTTCATTTCATACTATACTGAGTCTGTACGAGTGCATGACAAGTCCTTTCATCTGATCTGATTACTTTGAGTCGTTGACTTTGAGTTTGAGTTTTTTTGAATGCCATGATTTGTGCACGTGCCACGTGATCGAGAGTGATGTCAATGAATTAGTATCATGACGTCAGGGAATAGTATGTAAATTTACGGTGTCAACAAGTAAAGAGTCTAAAATTAAAAGCCTCACGAGTGTGCAACGCGAAGGACTAGTCTAAAGGGACCGTCACTTAATTTTTGCCGACTACCCGCCAAAAAAATCTTTTCGTTTCACGTGTCACTGACACGTCCGCGGACCGCGAGCGCGTACGACTCGTACTCGCGCTACCTTTCACGTCAATTGATCAAGCAATCTGTTCACGCCACAAGGCTGGATAGCGCGTACATGGAAACATGATTGAAGACTTGCAATATTTTTTTCCAAGTCCAGGCGCTAGGCCTAGGCAGTACTAATGCCTAATATAATCAATGCCCAGGCAGCTGACTTTATTTTCGGAGAAACACTACTCATTGTAGTAAAAAGTAACAATGAATAGCGATATCATCTAGGAAGGATCGCTACCCTAACGCGAAGGAAAGGCCTTGCGCGGCTGCTCTACGAAGTGTTGAAGAAAGACTCATCAAATTTAGTTGGTGGACGAACAACTCGCTGGCGCCGGAAAACTTGGCCCCCAACGATGGTGTTTGGTGAATCATCAAGCATAATGTCTTGTAGCAGTGTTCACCGAGGAAGGAGAACGCTCTAGACTAGTCGCTGCTGTTGTCCGTTTCATCCACGTTGGGCGTTAGCTGCACCGCGCCTATTGTGTTTTAGTATTCCATGGACGCACATTAGCATTCAGAGCGATTGTGGAGCCACAATTTACTTCACACAGCGTTGTATTGTCCACGAGCGCAAACTTAATTATCAGCAGTACCTGTTACTCTTCATCCTACATGTAGACTTGGAGTATACACGGCCTTGTCACGACAGCGACAGCTCTACAGATCATGCAGAGTGTTCAAGTGAGAAACATTAATTTCTATTGTTGGTGGACGAATAAATGGCTGGTTCCGAAAAAACGCGGCCTGCACCGATGGTGTTTGGTGGATCATCAAACAGGGTGACCAGCAGTGTTCACCGAGGAAGGAGAATGCACTCGCCACCACTCCGATTCATCCAAGTGGGCGTTAGCTGCGCCGCGCCTATTGTGTTTTAGTATTCCATGGACGCACACTAGCGTTCTCAGCGATTGTGGAGCCACAACATATCTTCATGCGGCGTTGCACTGTCCAAGAGCAGAAACGTCAGCAGTGACCCATCATCATACATGTAGATTTGGAGTATACACACCATGCGCCAATGGGCCTCGGCACAACAGCGGCAGCTCTACGGAGTGTTCAAGTGAGAAACATTTGTTTCGACTTTTGGTGGACGAACAAATCGTCGGTGCCGAAAAACGTGGCCTGCGCCGATGGTGCTTGAAACATCAAGCATGGTATGTGGTGACTGTCAGTGTTGATCGAGGAAGGAGAACACTCAGGCCGTCGACCGTTCATCCATTTCGTTAGCTGCACCAAGCCTATTGTGTCCTTGTATTCCATGGGCACACAATCATGAAGCATGGCGTCTGAGCTGTGTTCACAGAGCGGGGAGATGCTCTTGCTGCTATCTTATCTGTCCTGTGTATTCCCAAGTGCCGAAGGCTCACAACGATGGTGTTGGACAAGTCAGATAAAATAGAGTCAACGTAAGTACGCATGTGTACTCTTACTGACTGAAACATAAGTGGGGTGTAAGAGCTAATTCAAATGGTGTCGCGACATTCTCATGTACGAGGTTAGTGTGTAGTACTTGTTACGTACTGAATTCTGCGACTTTGTTTTGTCTCCATATACTGCATGCATTCACGTTTCACAGTTATCAGTTTGACCCTGAGTTCATGTCTGTTATCCCGTGTCTCCTCTACTTATTTTTGTTTCCACACGGTTCATGGTGTAGCGCTGCACGTGTTCCGTCAGTTTGAACTTCAGCATAAATCGCAACTACTTGTACTTTCAGACATGTCACGTGATTGTTGCCAGGGTTTGAGCCAATCAGAGCGTTTACAGGCAGGGCCTGAACCCCTGATCATGCCTTGCCTGCCAGCTCTACTACGATATTATATGTCACGTACCCGCGCACGCGCACGGTTCTCCTGCGCTTGGGCTTGCTTTCCCTTGGTAGTTGGAAGTCAGTGGCTGTTTTAGTACTCTTAGATTATGTACAGAAAGTGGTGGACATCACGCAACTGCAGTGTAAATTAAAGGGTGGTTGTCAACTGACAACCGCATAATTTTTCGACATAATAAATAAAAGAATTTTTATCTAAAGAGTGAAAAGCAACTAAATAGAGCGATTGTCGGTTGACAACCCCCCTTTTATTTAGATTATGTATCTGAAGTAAACACAACGTAGAAATATCACAATTGTCTCTTGTGTATTATATCCGTCTGATGTCACCAGATCATCACACGGTGCTGTGACCAAGATACGGATCATGCCGAACGCTGATTCAACTGGACGAATCGCGAGGCTTTTCAGATGCAGGGACACAATGGAAACTGAATGACTTCAGAACAGCACTGAAGCGTTATGTTATCATGCAAGACGCCTTTCTGCGCCGCACAAACACAGGCGGTACTACAGCAGAAGATGTCACTCACTATTCTGCAGGTGCACTGGTGACAGGCGCGTGCAAGTTCACCAGAAGGAAGCGGTCTGATGTTAACTGGAATGCCAGCAGTATGACAGGGTGTGCATTCTGCGGCGGATCTCACCTGGACAAGAGCTGCGCGAAATACACAACAGTAGCACAGCGGAAAGAATAACTGATTGGACAGAAGCGTTGCTTTGTGTGTTTGCGCACAGGGCACCGGTCAACTCAGTGCAAGGCCACCCGCAAGTGTAATGTGTGTTCTCGCATGGGTCACCAATCAGAGTCAACATCATGTCACGATCTGCCCTGAATCTCAACAGAAATCTGACAGCAGTACCAACATAGTAGCTGACCAGCCTGTAGCTGACGAGGTACCAGCATCTAGCGCAACAGCAGCTAGTGCAGCATCAACCAGTATCGCCATTGACCGTAAGATAGTCAGTCGTCTTGATCGGTGCAGATTTCCTCTGGGAGTCTTGACGGGGAGCACCAGAGGACTTCCGCCAGGACTACAGTTTCTGCCTACCACAGTCAGTTTTGTGGTGACTGGCCGACCACGTCACTCCAAGCACTCAGCTACGCCGATGAGCAGCCATGCCAGCTATCGTTTCTCTAACTGATGCAACTTCCGACTCCTGCACCATCCCAGATCTGTGGGACCTAGACTGTGTTGACATCTAGGATCCAGGCAATCTTACTAACAACGACCTAGCCATTAGGCAATTCATCATTGTTCTACGATTTTGCCTGCCACCAATCGTCATGACCTGCGATACTGAGAAGGCCATTTTACAAATCAGTGCCAACCCAGCATACAGAGATGCGACACGATTTCTGTGGTTCGCCAACTCCGACAGTCCATCAGTCACCCCATCCAGCCTGTTCACGCTCATAAGCAGTCCATTTCTGCTTGGCGCGTCTATACAGCATCATTTGGCACAGCAAGATGACAAAACAGCTAGCAGTGGCTATTGGTGAGAACATAGGGTCTTCTGGCGTATGGTATAATTATATGAGCAGCATGAGAGTGAAGTAAAAGACTATTAGCTCAAACATTCAGTCTTTTAAGAGTAGGTGTTTCATCACGGAATAGGTTCTGCAGTTCACATACACACTGCAACAATGGACCAGCAGTGTCCAGCATACAATAGAGTCATGTGAATATGTACCGTATGCATACTCACAGCTGCAAGGCCAGCGCCCCGTGGCTGCTTGACTTCTCAATCGATATAAATTTTCACAACAGTAAGACTCTGTGATCAATCAGAGCTGTGCTTCGAAGTAGTCACAAATGTCACAAAAGCGTTCCTGCGGATGCGGAAAACTTGGCTGGAACCCGAGTGTCACGTGAACCCTGATTTTTAAGACTTTTATTATTTGTTTTACGATGAGCCTATTATACGCGATACAGGCTCAGAACACACTTTTCATCTAGTTGGCATATCAGGGATATAGGGCGGAGCAGCCCATATCCCCAATTATGACACGCGAGTAATAGTGAAATACGATTGGCGTATTGTGCTGGACTGACTGCGGTAATGTAAAGCTAAAATAAAGCAGTCAGTTTGCCCTTAGCATGGCCTTGTCATGAGGGTGCCACATCCGTGGAAAGGCAACATGCCGGCTTATCTCCCTGAGAAGTTGAGTGGTTATCAGCAGGCGATGACGCTGTGTCGATGATGACCTGTTGATGCCCGACAGGAACCTTGCGAGAGTTATTGGGCCTGACGGGTAGGTAAAGCCAACTTCCACATGAAGTTTGCGGATGGCCGACATGTAGACATGAACAGATCGGGGCTGAAAAGTTCTGAACAACTCGGCAGCAAAATAACACATAAAGTAAAAAGTCATCACCTGGCAATGGATTCCAGTTATGCCCTTGACAGAACTGGAAGTAACGGGTATCGGCGGAAAAATATTTCCGGCCAGTGCCGCTAGCTGCAGCACGGAGTCCGGCAACTGAGAGTTGGCAAGACTGGCTGATCTGGCTCAGCTGCTGCTTCCGGAGCCCTCGATGGTTCAAACACCATCGGCGCAGGCCACGTTTTTCGGCACCGACGATTTGTTCGTCCACCAAAAGTCGAAACAAATGTTTCTCACTTGAACACTCCGTAGAGCTGCCGCTGTTGTGCCGAGGCCCATTGGCGCATGGTGTGTATACTCCAAATCTACATGTATGATGATGGGTCACTGCTGACGTTTCTGCTCTTGGACAGTGCAACGCCGCATGAAGATATGTTGTGGCTCCACAATCGCTGAGAACACTAGTGTGCGTCCATGGAATACTAAAACACAATAGGCGCGGC